GCCCCTGCTGCTTCCACCAGGCTCGTGCCCCGCCCCTCCCCCCCCCTCTGTTTGCACCCCTTTTGTGAGAGCGATCCTGGCAGTGTCCTGCCCCCCTGTGCTCACTCCAACCGACAAGAAAGCGGAGGCTTCTCTGTTGCACGCAGGCAGCTCCTCCAGGCTCCAGCAACAAAGCCCCCGTTGTCGGGCCCTGAGGACCGGCGGGAGGCTCCCACGTGACGCCGTGCCCTGCCTCGCCGCTCACCGCCCCCCTCTATGTCCCACAAGGCAGGATTTTAACTCTGGGAGCTAGCAGAGGTGGACTGGCAGCAGGAAGAGGTTGCTTCTTGCCCCGCCCCGGCTGGCAAGCCATCTCCGGGGGCGTCACTCATTAGCTCCTCTCTCTCTCCCTGCTCCATCCCGCTGAATCCCCACCCCACCCCGAGACCCCTTCTGAGTCCTTCCCCAGCCTGTCTGCTCCTTGGCAGCACAGGAGCCCCGCTGGGGAGGGGGCAGGGCGAGGCTGGGCATAGGAAGGTGCCACTGTGCCTATGAGCTGCCTCTGGCTTTCCCTCTGGGGCATCCACAGTGCAACCAGAAGGCTAGATGAGGCAGATGGGCCTGGGGATTGATCCAGCACTGGGAGGGCAGCGGAGGGCGGCAGGGAGGGAGAGGGAGAAGAGAAGAGCACGGCCCACTTTGGGTGCCTCGAGCTCCTTCCACCAGGAACGGGGCGCATGCTCTCCCACACCCCCTTCCTGACCAGGCTCGGGGCTGGGCTTGGAAGAAAGGGGGAGAAAACGTAGGTTTGTGCAATGTTTGTGGCACAAACGTGATATTTTCTTGCAATGCACGTGCAACTGCATTATTTGGAAACTAGTGAAAAACTGAATGATTGCATACGCACAGAAACACAGACACACATTTTTTTCTGGGGGACACTATACAGTGGGAGCCAGAACACCCTCTTTGCTTCCCAATATTTTGTGTGTGTGTGTGTGTGTGTGTGTGTGTGTGTGTGTGTGTGTGTGTCGGGGGGAAGTTTGCCACTTGTTCGTCGGCTGCTCATGGTTAAGATCCAGTGTTCCAAAGTTGGGGTGTGCCCATGGAGAGGGCTCTGTCCTTTGGAAATCCATGTCCTGCGTCTCCCCCACATACTGTCTGGGACGGAGCCGTGTCATGGACAGGCAGGCAGTATGGGGCGAGTGCCCCTGTGGGTATTTTGGGCCCCAAGCCACGTGGGCTTTCAAGGTGATGAACAGCCCTGCTTTGGGCCCAGGTTGCTAACGGGGAGAGTCCTCGCCGTTCTTGAGGATCTGGGGATCCCGTGCATGCTTGCGTGGTCATCAGCCGCACCAGTTCAATCTAGTTAGGAGCTAGAACTCGTTTAGCCTTGCCAGGGGCTGCCAGGTTGGGGAGATGGCGTGGCAAAGCCATGGCCAGACGTGCTTGTGGGACCTGGCTGGGGGCTGGGCGGAGAGAAGCCTCTCTGTGCTGTGCCCTTTGGGGGGGTCTCCAGCACCGCCAGCTTGCCTCCATGGCCAGCATTACATTCGTCTTGGCTTTGGGGAGGCCAACAGTTCCACGGGTATGTTTTTTAATCCTCTGCCGCCTCTTGCGACCAGGACGAATTCCGACTCTGCCCTGCATACGAGCGTGATGAACCCCAGCCCACAGGATGCCTACCTGGGCCCCTCCCAGGGAGCTCCCCCCCCGAATCGCAAGATTGGTGAGTGATGATTCGCCCGCCCCCCATACTCCCCTCTGTCTTCCTTTGAGGTTGGGATGCAAGCGCTCCAAGCCCCTCTCGTTCCTCCCCCTTTAGGTTACCTGGACAATGACATGGATAGCAAAGGTAACGCACCCCACTCACTGGCGCTGGGTGTGCTCGCCTCGCCTTGTGAGCCGAGCGCCTTCCTCGTGGTGCTCGGCCTCGCCTGTCCCCCCGCATGCAGCGGGGACACTTTGCCCGCCACGACTGCCCCCCATTCGGGACAGAACCCAGGCCAGGCAAAGCTGGGGAGCTTCGCCTGGCCTGGCCTGGCCTGGCCTTTGTCTTGTCCTGCGCAGAGAGAGCAGAGGACAAGCCAAGCCCGTTGGCCTGAAGGCACCCTGGTGCATGTTGGGGGTGCCGTTTCTCTCCCGTGGGGTGGGGGTGCTGCCCTTCCCAACACGCTCACCCCTCCAGCCCAGCGGCTTCCTGCCCCCTGCCCTCCTTCGGGAGGCTGCAGGAGTCGCCTGGGCCCTGAGCCGCCCCCGTTTCTCACCCCCCTGCCCCCCACCCACAGTGTTTCTTTTCCAAGTGCCTTCCATCGAAGAGAGTCTCCTGGACAACAAGCATTTGCTCAAGCCGTGGGACACCAAAAAGGTGGGTGCAGGGGCATCTGGTCCAAGCGCTTGAGCTTTGCGGGGGCCTGCCGCCGTCAGAGAGGTCTTGAAGGTGGCGCTGTGGCTGATGGGCGTCAAAAAGTAAAAATGGAAACCCAGGGACACCTGTTGGAGCTTGTGTGCGAGGCTCGGGAGAGTAACCCTCAGGAAGCCCCAAGGCTTTCCCAGGGGCGTGAGGACCAGTTGCGACCTCTTCATACAGCCCTGCCCAAGCTGATGCCTATTAGATTCAGGGGATTCTCAGCCCATCATCCCCAGGCTGCATGTCTAGCGGCAGGGTGCTGGGCTGGGAAAGGTTCCTGCAGTTATTCTCTGGTTCAGGCTAAAATTCAGCGCGGAGAAGGATTCTGTTCTCTCCCCCACCTTGTACCCCTGGCAATCTGTTTTGGGTGCCTGAGCCCCCGAGGAAGGAAAAACTTCTCTCCTCTTCAGCCAAGAGCCAAATCTGGGGTGGGGAGAGGGTCAGTTGGCATGGGGCAGCCTTGGACTTCTGTGAGCTTTCTCAGAAAAGCTTGGGGGTGGGAAAGGAAGCTTCTTCTGAGAACTCTTTAAAGAATCATACACTTTTCAGCTGAGCTGAGAGTGGGGGGGAAGTTGGCCCATCTCATTCACCCACAAAAAAAGTGAGTGTGCCTCCCTTTTTTTAATAATAAGTTTTATTTGAAATTATAATCCTAAAAACAAAGAAAAACTAAAAACAACATCAAGCATCAAAACCATCGGGCCTGCTGGGTCAGCCCCCACAATTTTTTTTTCCATTTATGGTAACTTAAAAACATATTTAAGTCTATACGAAGTCCCGTTTCTCTAGCCAATAATAAAAAGAGTCCCAAGTTTGATAGAAGTGAGTGTGCCTCACTTTGCAGGTTTGTGCATGTGTGCGCGCGCGCGCACACACACACACACACACACACCCCTAATTTGCCACCCTGGCATAAAATGCCACCCACTGAGTGGCTGCAGGCAAGCTTTAGCGCTCTGCCTCCAGCGGGCAGGCAATAATCCTGTTTTTATTGGGAATCTGGGAAGCGGCCTGCTGGATGCTGCTCCAGCCCAGGATTTTGCCCACATGGTAACAGCCAGGCGCTCGCTGGAGATCTGCTCCTTTGCCCACGTACACAAGCAGTTGTTCTGTGCAGGGGGCTGTCGGGGCCACTGGCAGCCTTCTCAAGGGCTGGTCCGTTCCTCATCGAACACTGTCCCAGCGGATGGTCCGTCTCTCCCGGCTGTGGCAGCGAACCCCTTTGTCTGACTGTGGGTGTATCTGCTTTATCGTGTGTCTTGTCAAGTTTGGCTTCTCTCTGATGGTCAGAGTTCCATTTTCTTGGCCACAGCGCAGGGTACACAGCAAACTAATGCCAACAGTAACACCGGCCTACCTTGCAAGATGGGTGTTTGCCACAGGCCTGCCCACTCCCAGCTTCTGCTCATGGCGCTCAGGCAGTGTATGTGTGAGACCGGCTTCTGGAGTGAGCCCGGCTGCTGCAGGCTGCCGTAGGAGGCAGGATGCATGGGCTGGGAACGGGGGGCTGGCCGTGACCCCGGGCTTCTTTCCCGTGACGCCATCTTTCTCTTCCAGCAGCTGTCCTCTTCATCCGCCCGTCCACGGTCCTGCGAGGTGCCTGGGATACAGTACGTGATGCAGCCCCTGTCTTCTTTAAAATGCTTCGTATTCAGAGGGTTGTGGGAATGCTGTGGGACAACGACCACCCAGCTCCCGTCATTCTGTGTCTGGTTTCCCAGCGTGAGAGCGAGCATTTGGCATGTTTTACACATGCAGCAAAGTAATTTAAGAAGACCCCATGCTCCCTCCAGACTTCAGATGGAAAATACCCTGTATTTATTTTATTTTTTAATTTTTAAAAAAGTGCTCTCCTATGTATGTTTTTTAAAAACCTAAATCCCTTCTAGATGGAAAGCTAACTCATGAGGGGGAGATAGGTTTCATGGGAGCTTTCTGCCTGTGGGGATTTACTTCCCTGTAATGGAGAAGAAAAAGAGATGCCAACCTTGCAGTGTGAAAGCACGCAAATGCAAGTAGATAAAAATGCATCACTTCGGTGGGCAGGTAGCAGCATTCCGTGCACCTCGGTGTTTAGTCATGCCGACCACACGGCCACGGAGACTGTCTGCGGACAGATGCTGGCTCCCTCGGCTAGGAAACAGGGATGAGCACCGCCCCCAAGAGTCAGACATGACTGGACTTCAATGACATGGGGAAACCTTTACCTTTACCGTTACCTTTTAATGGAGAAGAACCTAGGAAAAGTGATTCTTCTTAAGCGGCACTGTCCACTCAGCCGCTTCCCAGCAGCTTCATGGCCGTGTGTGGGTTGACCTGGCCAGATTTGGCCCCTGCCCTGGAAGTGGGGCAGGAGTGCTCCCCCCTTTCCTGAGACGCTTCTCTCTGTTCCCTCCACCCCTTCCCAGCATCTTCCCGTCCCCGGACCAGCCTGCCAACCTGCCTCTGATACCTGCTGCCCTGAACACGGGGGGCTCCCTCCCGGACCTCACCAACCTGCACTTTCCGTCGCCACTGCCCACTCCCTTGGACCCCGAGGAGTCGGCGTACCCCAGCCTGAGCGGTGGGAGCAGCACCGGCAACCTGGCCAGCACCCTGACGCACCTGGGCATCAGCGGCAGCGTGGGCCTTGGCCCCGGCTACGACTCCTCAGGTGAGGCTGCCCGGAGCAGAGCAGGTGTCGGCCAGGAACCGAAGGTCAGCCGAGGGCTCCGGTGGGCGGGGGGGCCACGTCTGCCTGCGTGTGCATTTCCAGAAGGCCTGGCTCTGCCTTTCTGGAGAGAACCTGAGATTTCCGTCCGTGACAGAAGCCGCGTGCTCTGCCGGTGCCCCTCAGTGGTGAAACGCACATTGGTCTCGATGGGAAGCACGTGCGAATTCCCTCGTTGCCCAAAGGCAGGATGCCGCTGTGGCAGCAAACCAGAGCAGATCCGTTTAAAAAGCACTCGCCCTTTTTGGAACGGGAGGACAGTGGCGCAAAAGCACTTCCCAGTCGCCCATCCGCAGCCAGCCTGAAGAAAAATCCTTGCGCATGGCCTCAAGCTAGGAGGTGACTGAGCTCCAGAATTGGGGTGCTGCCCCCACAGGCCTTGCCCCCACATTCTCACGGGCCAGGTCTCCGTTGGTGACAGGAGCTCTGATGGTTTCTCTGAAGACCACCTTAAACGATGGGTGGGTGGATATTGGGGGGAGGGGGCCTTTTGGACGTGTGGGGCAGGACTGGCAACCCCCACAGTCCAGGGGCCATGATTATGATCTGTGAAGCGTTGGACCGGGGGCCCTTTGGTTGTGTTGGACTGACCCGGCCAGAGGGCCGAGCCTGGTACACCGAGTGCAGCCCTCTGGTCCTGCTCTGGGAAGTGAGGGTTTCTTTCCCCGTCCTGATGGAGGGCGGGGGGGGGGGGGCCTTTCACGGTTTCCCGGGCCGTTTTCCCCTTCCCACCTGGACGGCCCTGCTCCCGGATTCTGCCCGGGTGTGGGCCTGGGCGGGCAGCCACGTCCCATCCCGACCCCGCGGGCAAGCACCATCCGTCCGTCTGCCTGTGTGTCGCCCCATTCTCTCCTCCATTTACGTATCGGTTTATTTTGTTTTCCTTTTGTCCCCACAGGCCTGTGCTCATCTATGCAGAACTCCCTCAGTAACCCCTGCATCCAGTCCTCGCTTAGCAACCCCTCGCTGCAGGGCTCCCTCAGCAACCCCTCGCTGCGCTCCTCCCCGAGCGGCGGCTCCGTGCCCTCCTCCCTCAGCAACCCCTCCCTCTCGTCCTCCCTCAGCAACCCCTCCCTCCCCAGCGCTCTCGGCAGCCAGCCCGGCCCCGGCAACCCCGGCCTCCAGCCGCCCGGCTTCGGCAGCCCCGCCGCCTCCTCCGCCTCCTCCCCGTCGGCCGCCCCCTCTGCTGCCGCCTCCTACGCCCCCCTGAACGCCTCGCCCCGGCGCAGGGTCCCCCTCAGCCCCCTGACCCTCCCAATGGGCGGAGACTCGAGAAGGCCGCACCCAAAACCGTTTTCGCCAACTATGTCACCCACATTGTCCTCCATCACACAGGTATGCATGGGGGCCGCTCTCGGGCCCCCCGTGGCGCTTTCCTTGGCCACTGCCTCTCGCGTGTGTTTTGATTTAGCTGTTGTGTTTCTCCATCTTCATTTCCACTTCGAGGGAAAAGCCCGCGCCCTTTCCTCCTAGAGGCAGCTGTCCACCTGCGGGAACGACGGGGCGGGGTGGGCAGGTGCCCGGAGTGCAAGACCTCCGTGACCAGAGGCAGGCAAGGAAGGAGAGGAGACCCCCCGTGGTGAGAGAGTGCAGAAATCTAGGGGTAGCCCCGTGTGTTTCGGAACAGACTCGCTGCTGGCACGGAAAAGGCAGAAATTCCAAAAGCAGAAAGCAGTGGCCGCCTGGCAGAAGTTGAGACGTGGGCGCTCATTGCGGCAGTCCCGAGTCCCTGCCGCTGGAGTCCGGACCCTCCTGTTCTCCCCTGTTTTCAAGGAGCAGGTCTTTCTGTCAAGTAAACGGACCCAAATTGCTCGCTCCAGCTCAGACCACCCTGAAACTACTTTGCATTACAACAGGGAACTGTGTATTATTGCTCGGGAAACCCGTTCCTCTCCAGCCACTGAGGGAGTGGTGGAACTGGAGCCCGGAGGAACTGGAGAAGGCAGAAGGGGTGGCAGGCGATGCCGCGCTCCCACATAATCAAAAGATGCCGATGCTGTGTCTCTGGTCACCCTGACTCCCCTCCACCACTGGTGGAAAGCGAACTTGGCCTGTGAATATATATATCTGTGCGCATATGTGTGACGCTTTTACAAATCTGTGTGAGAAATCAAAGCGTTGAGAAATCAAATCAAAGGGATTCTCGGAAGCTTCTGAACTGCTTTTGTAATCGCTTTCTGAAACACACAGAGCCGCATTAAAGATTTCTGCCATCGCTCGGCCACTGCAGATCGCCACTCCTCTGGGGTTTGCCCGGCCGAGGTGCCATTCCCTCCACCCCACTTTCCTCAGTTATTCCAGGAGGTCAGAGCCGTCCTCCGATGTGGGAGAGATTGCCGGCTCCTGAGCCAGTGTCTTGACCGAGCACGAAAGCTCCTCTGCCGAGCTCTTTGCAGCCTGACCCAGCCTTGTTCCTTCCAGACGCACGTTCACTGCGACGCCCAGAATTCCCGGGTGGCCCTGCTGGGTGGGGATTCTGGGAGTTGCGGGCCAAATGCCTGTGAAGGCTGCCAGGTTGGGGAAGGCTGGTTGAGAGGAAGGCTGTTCTCCAGGGTGCCCTCCAGCGCCTCTCGGTGTGTCGCTCAGCCGACTGCCAGGCCCGTCCGAGTGGAGCTTTGGGTCGATGGGCGAAGTGTGCTTCCCATCCGACAGGAGAGGCTCCGGACCTTGCCAGTGCCCAGGGCGCATCGGCACATCTCCCGGGCTGCGTTTCGCGCTGTCCGATCACTTTTTGAAGCCCTTCCTCATTCGGGAACCTCTGGACCAAAAGATCAGCTGCTCCTGAGCAGGGTGGGGCTGTCCATCAGGTCCCTCGGCTCCCCCCGCGGAGCCTCCAAGCCGGGCCTTTGGGATAAAATGCGCACTCTGACACATCTCCACTAGATGGGGCTGTCGAGCTGGCCCTGGCCGGCCTCTCCTTTCCCTGCCCAAGTCCCTTTGAGGCTGGGCTCTACCTGCCGCATAAAAGCCGTGGTAGAGTCCTCCACGCAGGTGCCACTTTGCACTGTGGGGGAAAGAAGTGCTCTGAATGCTGCTCATCCTGTAAAACAAGATTCCTGTGAGGAAGGGAAGGCGGGAAGGGCGTTCCTGCTGCGTGCCGCCTCCTCGTGGGTAGCGGGGGAGCCCCCCCTGGGAAGTGTCCGAAAATGGCCCAGCATGGCACCTCCCGCACCCCCACCTCATTCTCCTCCCTGCGGGGACTTGGCCTCCGGGGGGTGTTTGGGAGCAGGGGGAGCCCTGGTGTCGCAGCCGTGGCCTCACATTGATTGGGGCTCCCCGCCGTGCTGTTCTTCTTCCCCCCTCCAGGGGGTGCCACTGGACACCAGCAAGCTGCCGGCCGACCAGAGGCTCCCTCCGTACCCCTACAGCCAGCCCGGTCTGCACCTCCAGCAGGGCCAGAAGCCCCTCCACCAGGGGCAAGGAGGGGCGGGCGGCCCCCCTCAAGTCCGCCAGCAGCCGCAGCCCTTGCAGACGCCGTGCCCCTACCCGGCGCAGTACCCGTCCAACTCCATGCTCCAGCACCAGCTCGGCCAGCCGCTGGGTGACTTCGGCCTGGGCAGCGTGAGTACAGCGTGAGCGCGGCGGCCCTCCTCGGACTGCACTGGGCTCCCCCGGCAAGCTCTCTTCTCCAGCACCCTGTTCCCCCCCGCTATGGCCAAGCTGAAAGCGATTTTGTTAGCAAATCCCCACCTTTACCCCTTCAACCAGAAGGGCTCCCAGGGTGAGGCAGTGGCTGCCTGCAGGCCGGTGCTCTTAACGGCACAGCACAAGAGGAAAGGGGATTGGGGGGGGAAGAGGAAAGCAACAGGCGAGATCCGTTTAGCTCACATGGAGAATTTTCATGTCGGAGTTTTCCTGCTGTCACTCACCAGCTACGAATTTCCAGGAGGGAACAGTTGTTGGATGTAGAGGTTCTGTGTAGCCATGAGGAGGAGGAGGAGGAGGAAGCCCCTGGACCTGCCGTTTCTTTAACTAAACGGGGAGGGCAGAGATCTTGGCCGCCGAGAGGAAATCTTTGAGGCTGTGTGCCTCGGCATACTAATTGCTGGGGAACATGGGCGGGAGGGTGCCGTGGCACCCCTGTCCCACTTTCCACAGGCAGCTAGTTGGCCAGTATGCTAACAAAATGCTGCTCTCTCTGACCCAGCTGGGCTCCACTTACCTTACATGAAAGGAAAGGAAAGGTGACACCTGGGCTTGCGCCCCCCCCCCCCCCCGCCTGCATGTTTCTGGTCGCCTCCAGGTAAAATGCTGGAAAACGGCAGGGCTTACAACCCGCTCACGCCCCGGGCTGTTTCCTTTCCCTGCAGTTCGATCAGTACAACTTCGTAGAGAACATGTCTGGAGGCTTCGCTTTCAACAGCAACACCTTCACGGACGACCTGGGTGCCTTAAACTACTCCCAAGGCGACAGCGTGGGCCAGTCGGGGGGTGGGGGCGGCGGCGGCGGCACTGGGGGCAGTGGCAGCACTCACGACCCACACCTGCTCAACCGCCAGAACCTGAACAACTGCAGCCGCCACGGCCCCGTCCCCAACATCATTCTCACAGGTAACGGAGAGCTGGAAGGGGACAAGGGGGGAACTGTCACCCGCCTCCCCCAAAAGCCAGTGCGGGTGGGCCTTGTGGCTCCCGGCCCATGTTCACAGGGCAGTTGGGGGAAAGCTTGGGGGGAAAACCGTCTCCCCCAGCCCGGCACTCTCGGATGCTGGCCAGGGGTGTGCTGGGAATCACCCTCCACCCCATTCTGGGGGCGCCAGATTAGGCAGGTCTGTACCTGAACTGTTTGCTGCAGGGGGCGGGTCCCCCGGGGCCCTCCATGTATCCTTGCTTGCCAGTGCCGTGATTCCTGAGCATTGGCCGCTGCTGCCGGAGCTGCTGGGACATGTAGGCCAAAGCCGGAGGGCCCAGCTCTTCCTCTCTCTCTGTGCTGGGGACTGGAAGTGGCTTCTGGATATCCAATGGGGCCTCGTACGGAGACCGGGCTGTTCGTTGTCTGTCCCAGGACTGGACGGGCAGTTCCTCTCCGGGGGGTCTTTGCTGAAGGAGGCGCACCGGCCTCGGAGCTGAGCAGGGGCAGCGAGCCCCCAAGCCGAGCCTGCCGCTGCTCTGGCCGGGTTGGCCTCCCCCACTGTGGGGCCTTTTCTGAGAGGCGGGCCTTGCAAGCCGGAGTGACGGCAGAGGGATGGTCCCGCTGCCCGAAGAATCCTGCGGGAGCCCCCAGGCCTGATCCCCTCTCCCCCCGCAGGGGACTCCCCCCCAGGGATCTCCAAGGAGATTGCCACCGTCTTGGCAGGCATGCCTGGCTTCGAGATGGGCTCCTCCGCCCTGGGTCTCGACGAGGACCTGAAGATCGAGCCGCTCACCCTGGACGGGCTCCACATGCTCAGCGACCCCTACGCCCTGCTGACCGACCCGGCCGTCGAGGACTCCTTCCGCACAGACCGGCTCCAGTGAAGGCAGGGGCACGCGGTGCCGAGAACCCCCGGCCTGGCAGGGAGGCCCGGGGGAGACCCAAGAGCCAGGCTCCCGCTCCCCACGCAGGGACTCTGGGAGCAGGGGCTGTGCGTGGCCACGGCCTCCCCGAGGCGTTGGCGAAACCTCTCCAGACATTCTGGGCCAAACTCGGCAAAAAGCAGCCGCGAGCCCAGGCTGCGGAGGACCGGGGAGGAACTGGGCAGGGGGTGGATGCCCCTCTTCAGCCCCGCGCCGGGGAGGTGCTTCCGGGTCGCTTGGAGGGGCCGGACGCTGCAGGAGAGCGATGCGGGGTGTCCAAAGCCCTCCGGGATGCAAGAGAGAGAAGATGGACTGGATCCGGGAGTAGCCTTCTGCCCCCCTTGATCCGAGGGACGGGTGTTCGTGTGTGTCCGAGGCAGGTCTCTGCTGCCCAGAGTCCCAGCCGTGGGCCCTGCGTTTGTTCCTGTGTATATTTCCACCTGCACCGATAGCTAGCGAGATCATCGTGGTAGTGTGCCGAGCCAGGCGAGTGTGCGGAGGAGGGAAGGCGGGCGCGAAGCTCGTGGTTCTTTTATTTCTTTGCCTAATCATGTTTTTTAAAGAGAATCTGTACATAACGCCTCCCTCTCTCCTTATCCCTCCCTCCTCTTGGACTGCCATGTACTTGGGGGGCGGGCGGAGTTGGAGAAGGAAGTGGGGGCGTCTCTTGTAAAGCACTTGTAACTTTGCATTCTTATCTTTTGTGGAGTCAAGTCCAGTATCTGAGCTTGAGTTGGGGGTGGGAGGGGGCGGGCAAAGAGGAAGAATGTGGGCAGGGCACTTGGCCCCCTTCCTTGCCCACTGGCCCCCTCCCCCCCCACTAGGGAGGAGGCAAACCAGAGTGATTTTATTATTATTTTTTAAAATATATGTTAATTATAATGAAATTTTAGAGTTACTGTATTGTGTGATTCTGGGTGAGTAAGTTGGGCGGGTAGGACTCTAGGGATCTGGGAACGGCCCCGCTGGATTGGGGCTAAGGGTCCATCCTGCCCCTCTTTCCCCCCCCCCCCGTTTTTAAGAAAGAGGCGACTATCCAGATGTGTCTCAGAAGCTCAGCATCTGGTATCCTTTGCCAGGAACCCTGCTAGGCTCTTGAAAGCTGCAGGGCCTCGTCTTTCCGTTGGCATTGTCAAGTTGTGGGACGGGGGAATTGCAGTGTGTCCAGCACCCCCCCCCCCAGAAATGGTCCCACCGAGGGCCCTTGGATGTGGGTTTTGGGGCTGGTGGTGCCACTAGAACCTGCTTGCCGTAACCTCACCCTCCGTCGAAGCCAGTGGCCAGCAGGATGAATTTTGGCAGGCTTCCTTTCACCTCCTGTTCCAACAAGGGGGCTTTGCAGCACGAGGTGTTCCTGTTCGGGGTTCCAGCCGGCACATGTCCAGGTGTGTCCCCCACCTGGTTTTCTGTTAGCTGTCGCTCAATATTCCCCGCTCACTGCACATTCTCTAGAATTCATCAAGCTTCTTTTCAGATTCACGCGCGTTAGGGCTTTCCCCCCAAGGTATTTTTGGGGTGGGGTTCTTCCCATGACTCCCTCCATCGCACCCATTTCCCTGTTATTCAGGGGTGGCTTGACCACGTTTGAGATGACCTGCGGACAAACGGTTTGCCGACGGCTTAACCAGTGACTGAGGATCAGTGCCTGAGTGCCAGGACTAACGTTGGCCCATCTGTGATTCGGTGGACTCCCCCCGCCCCCCACCCAGGGCTTTGAGGAACAGCAGGTAGCATTTCCGAGCCCTGTTGTGGCAGATGGAAATTGAAGTCCTGGCTGGGAAAGGCTTCAGAGATGGGCAGTGTGGCGGTGCTGCAGCTTCCCTCTCTCCCTGCCTCAGGTGGGTGCCAGTCCTTAATCCGGAGCAGCCACGATTTCAGACTTGGGGAGCGCAGCTTGCTTCCCTCGTGCAACCGCAGAATGTGTTCGTCTCCCTCCATGATGCTCAGCAATTGGTGCCGGAGACACAGCAGCCCGGTCCGAAATTCTGGAAGTGGAAATGCGATCGAGAGGGGCGGGGCGGGGAGAGAACCGGCGACGGGAGCAGCGTCTCCACCCGGTGCCGGCGGGAATGGAGCAGGGCCCACGCATGCATGCCTCGCCCTCACGGCAGTGCGACACAAGGTGTGCTCAGCACTAGCCTCCTGTTGACAGCGCGTTCCCCTGGGAGGCAGGTGAAAGGGGCTTCTCTGCGTCTCCCTTGGTGGACTGAGCTTATTAGATCTAAATATAGCTCATTTCTTACGGAGTGGAATAATATATCCGTTGTGCTTTATAGAAGTATATTACACTAATATTTATTTCCTATCTTTTCCTGAGGAACTCAGGGCAGCTTCACAACAACCCTGCGAGGTAGGTACTTGGACCTGAGGCGGACTGGCCAAAGGCCACCTCCTGACCTTTATGGCTGACCTGCGGGGGATTTGGACTCGGGACTGGCTGCCCATGGTCTTGTGTGTAACCTGCTGACCTCCAGACTGACCGCTGGCCACGGTGGCTGGAGCTGGCGGGAGCTGGCATTCAGCTTGTCTAGAGAACACTGTTACAGGAAGTTGCTGGGGGGGGGGGGTCAAGCAGTGCCCCCCCATTGAGGCCTGTGGGGGCTGGATGATCTGTCAGTGCTGTTCCCATCTCTGCTTCTCTCATGCGGAGAGGCACGGGCAAGGCTGGGCACCTCACGGGGCGGCCTCTCTTCCATCCTGCAGTAAAGCCTTGCAGGTCGGAAGGAGAGATTTTGGAACAGAAGAGCTGTGCTGCTGGATTCGACCCACAGCCACTTCAGGCACGCCATGGCCAACCAGCCGCCCACAGAAGATCCCCAAGCAACTAATATGCACAGGCCTACTCCATATTACGGAGGAAGCGTAAAGCCTCAGGACTAGCCGCCTTGGACAGCTGCCTCCCCGGTGGGTGTTTCCCGTCCCCTCAAAGCCGTCCAGATTGGGGAATACCGTGCTGTCCCGTGGAAGCAATTCCCTTAGTTTAGCAATATGTTGTGTGAAGAAGGGCTTTTTTTAAACCCGCCCTGGGCCTCCCCCGTCAGCTTCATGGATGTTCCCCCCACTTTGGGTTCTAGGAGATAGAAAAATGATTCTTCCCACTTTCTCCATTCCAGGCATAATTCCTGGGCACCATGTCTCACTTCAGTTGCCCCTTTTCAACCCAAAAGAATTCCAGATGTGGCAGCTTTCCTGATGGAGAAGCTGCTCCAGCCTTTGCATCTGTTGCTCTTTTTTTGCAGTATTTCCAAACCTTCAGTTTCCTGTTTTGGGGGCACTGACCAGGATTGTACATGGTATTCATATGCTTGTACCATGGATTTGTCTAGGGGCAGGCTGATCTTGGCAGTTCTAATTTCAGTTCTTTTTTGGGTCGGGAGTATTTTTGTGTTCAGTAATGTGAGACCCTTGCTGGAATCTCGGACCATTTGTAAGGGGCAGGGGCAGATTCTGAGATGGAGGAATCTTTAGTGTCTTTGCCTCTACTGCCACAACCTGGTCCTTTATTTCCTTCCACACACCTCCCCCCCTCAGTTCTGCTCCCAAAGGCAAGGCAACACATAATGCCGACCAAACTGTACAAAACTTAATTTTTATTAGATATTGGAACCATCTATAGAGGCATTTTTCGAGATCACAACCTCCCAAGCTGTCTGGCCCAGCTTACTGTGTCAAAGCTTCGTTGTAAATCATGGCTACGGCACCCAAGAAGGTGACATACTCCTGAAAGTTCACAGCGTCGTCTTTGTTACGGTCCAGATCGCACATGAGTCTCTGGATCTCTGCGTCATTCAATTTCTGGAGTGAAAAGAAAAATATTTTTAAAAAAACCTGAGAACCTCAAATCACAAAGCAGTCAACTGGAACGCTTAAATTAAGTGTGGGCAAAGATCCAAGGGCAATTTTAGAGGGTGCTTCTGGCTGGCAGAGTTTTCCTGGCACAAGTTCCTAGTCCTCATGGTTCTAAAGATGAATACCCCCATTCCAGCTCAAATGAGGGGCTCTGAATGTCTGCTCCTTCCTTGCTGACCGGCCCTAAACATCCTGCCGTCTGAAGGCCAAGTTCCATTTCTGAGAATTTCTGGCACTGCATTCTGTGAGTAGCCATGACCCAAGTCTTGGGTTCCGAAACCATCCAACTCTTTCAACAAAACCCGCTTGGTGTGCCTGTAACTAATCCGCAGGAGACGCGTTTCCACTTTTCAGAACAGGGAGCAAAAGCTGCAGAGATGCTGCGAAACCAAACAGGTGAAGGACTGGGGGGGCCTTCAGGGAACTGCAGAGGGGCCTGAGGTTTGGTACCCACCCCATTAAGACAGACCAATCTACCAACGAGTGTGCAGTGTGACTGCTTGGTCAAAAGGGCATTTCCGTCTCTCCCTGCACGTGCTTCCACTTTCTTCCTCTTCTCATGGGAGAAAATAGATGGGATTCCCACATCTTTTCCCCCATGGTGGGAAAAGCACCAGAAGAGGAATTTGGCGGGTGGGGTGTATGTGTGTTGTTTTAAAACACTTTATCCAAGACTTTTCTCCAACTCGTCAGTCCCCACAAGGCTATCTTCCATATAAATGAATAAGGTGTGGAAGAGAACGTCGCCATACAGGCTGGCTTCACTCGATACTCACGGGTCCAATGGTCATCTCCTTCTGGATCAGCTCCTTCAACTCTTTCTTACTGAGGGTGTTTTTATCACCCTCTTTGCCTGCATATTTGTGGAAAATAGTAACCAGGAGGCCAATGGCTTGATCGAGTGGGCATGCCATCTTGCAAGGACAGGCAGGAAGTAGATCTGAAAAGACCAAATGCAAAAGTGGCGATGTTTACGCTTTAGTGATGCAGGGGGAGAAGACAAGACATTTCTCATAGAAACGGCATCAGAAGGGGTCTCCTGGGCCATCTAGTCTGACCCCCAGCTCTGCTCATGACACGCCTACCATTTTCGCCATGGTTCATACCTTCCTCCCTTGTTCAAACATTTTAAATCATGAGGTCTTCGAGCGGCAGCCGAGGGATGTGAGGAGCGGGAGGAGCATTTCCATAGGCGGGACTGCGAAGGTCACTTTAAAAAGGAAAGGTTTGTATCTATGGGGGGAATGTTTCTAAAAATAGAAAAATAGATTGCTCTTCTGCAATATTAGGAAAAGGTGTGGACTGATAGGTGAACTAGCGTTCAGCTGGCTCGTAGGGATGCTCAGTATGGTTTTGCCTGATGGTTTTAATAGGGCAGTTCCTCACGATTTTGCAAGATACTTATGTTGGGCCATGGAAGAGCGTGATCAAGGCACAAGCTGGGCATGAATCATCATCTCCTCATCCCAGAAATTTGAAGAAGGTGGAAAGGTATTTATTATTGGGAGTTTTTGTATGCCGTCCCATTTGCATAAGCCTCGGGACGGCTTCCAACACAATAAATAAGCATATAAAAATGCATATAAAATTCTGATTCACCCTGGCTGTAGAAATTAAAACCAATCAATAATAATAACAGTTATTAAAATATTGCTTAAATAAAAAGGTCTTGGCCTGGCGCCGAAAAACAGTGACGGTATGGAAGGAAGGGACAGGTGCGCCAGGTTGTCCCGCTTCCTAACTTGGCAGGCTGACTGGCTGGATCCCATTCCATGTGATACGGTGTTCCCTTTTAATCCTGGCCTTTGTGGCCATGAAAGGAATGTGGGGTGGGGCGGGGCGGCGCGGGGCGGGGGTCAGAACCACAAAGGCAGAAGCCTTTCCAAACCTGCCATTTTAGGGTATTTTACAAAATTAATTACTGTATTTTTCGCTCTATAAGACACACTTCCCCCCCCCTCAAAAGTAAGGGGAAATGTCTGTGCGTCTTACAGAGCAAATGTGTGTGTGCCCGACGCCCGGGACGCTGCCGGCCGCCTGCAGCGCGTGGCACCACCTGGCCGGCATGCGCTCGGTGCGCCCTGCCCCGCCCGCCTGCTCCGGCACAGGTGAGAGCTGTTAATCACAGGTCGGTGTGCGTTTTCAAATGGCAACCCGTGTTTTAATGAAGCCCGTGGGGAAGTGATGGGGAATGTGCCTGTGATTTCAGGAAGCTTTCCATGGGTCCCTCCTCTAAAAACTAGGTGCGTCTTACGGTCAGGTGCGTCTCAGAGCGAAAAATACGGTATGTGCAGCAGAGAGAAAAGGAGCGTGTGTATTCAAAATTAGATGGTTGCTGCAACTGAAGGAACTTAACTGAAAACACCTAATGCTTTCCCGTCTGAGCTGCTTTCATCCACTCCCCCCTGGCCATCCACACCACCTGGCTCCACTTCCCAAAATCTGCCGCTCCCAGAGCCCAGAGGTGGTGGTAGGGGTGGCCCTGGATCTCTTGGAGGCCTCTGCCCCACTGCTTTGCTTTCCGGGGGCATTTGCTGCAGTAAAAAGAGGGCCCCAAGGATCTCGGCTGCATCCGACTTCCCCTCGATTTTGGCCCGCCTGTGCTTTTCCTGCCACTGCCCCCCATGAATTTTTCTCCCTGACTTGTTTTCCAAAATTAAAGGCCCTCCCCTATCCATACAGCCTGTTTTATAGGCAGTGGGTCCTTTGGAAACAGGGGTCCTTTAAAGACTGGCCGAACTGACCGGTAGTTTTCCACTTTGGCGGGGGACCAGTTCCAAATCAACGCATGAGATCTAGGTGTGTCCGTCTAGACACAGGTTACCTGTAACACCCATAGGTCTAAAGAGCCCAAGGAGGAATAGCTCCCAATCTGACTATGCTGGGAAAATGGGACACTTTCCCACCATTCCAGCTTCTTCAGGGGTCGCGAGCTAGTTCGTAGGAATGGGGAACTCTGGGCAGGAACGGCTTCCACCCTAGGAGGCCTTGCTCTGCTGCCCCAGAGCTTTCAGAATTCCCCCATATTTCCTGTTAGTTTTCCAAACGGCGCTTACAAGCCCTGTCCTCTGTCTGAAGGCCCGGGAACCGGCTGCATTGTCTGGGGGGCTTTTGTTTCTGGGCTTGGTCATTGTTTGGCTTCAAACAGAGAGAGGGGCAGTTTTTGTGTATCTTTGCGTCTGTCTGTGTTTCCTAATCCCCTCTGTTTATTCGTAGCTATAGCTGGGAGAGCTGCAAGTAAATATTGTCGCTCTGGGTTGCCTGCTCAGGGTTTTAACCCAGCCAAGCCCGCCTTAGGGGGCTTCATTCCATCCCCCTTTCTTCCCCCGGCGATTTGGCACCCCTGCCGCCTTATCGCCACCGAGCCCCAAGGCTTCCACATTTCCCCCCCCCCCCCGAGCAAACTGCACTTTCTCCAGTCCTCTTGCGTGTGGATGCTTCAATTTTGGTGCATAAGGTGGGCAGGATTTGTGCGTCCCCAGTCTAGGCTCACCCCCATAAGATGGGTCTGGCGCTCAGGCGAAGTGGGGCCCAGTGACAGGCGCTCTGGGGAAACGTCGCAGCTGGTAAAGAGAGCAGCCTTCCCTGCCCCCTTCCCTGCAGAGGTGGGGCCCTGCCCCACTCTTCAGGGGACAAACCATCAGGGAAAAGTGCGCCATGGGGAAGCCCCCGCCCCATGGAGCACAGTGGGGTCTGTGACTACTAGGCGCCTCTGCTCCCTCTGCCTCCCCCCCGCCCCCGTTTTGCTCCGCATTTCCAGGCTTAATAGCTGCAGGTGGAAGGCAACGTGACGGGTGACGCTGCCCTGCACCTGGCCCAGGTTAAAGGCCCCCCCCCCCCCCCCGCAGAGGAGGGGAGGCAAAGCTTCTCCGCCGTACATGTCTGCCTCTCGGGGATGCGGAAAGGCGCGGGGGGGACACGACGCGACGCGAGCAGCGGCCGCGGGGCATCGCAGGCGAGGTAAGGGGCGTCCCGGCTCCCGCAGCACCCAAGGGCGCTCGGGCGTCGTCAAGCAGCCCGCCTTGTCGGGGGGGGCACACGCCGCCGCCCCCCCCCCGCGATTGCACAGGCCTAGTTTGCAATTGCACGGGCCCCTCTCTGCTCTTAAGGGACACGGTGGCCGCCCGTCCCGCCGCCTCGCTGCGTTCTCACGACACCCCGTGCGGTAGCTTCGGCGGGGGGGCCCCCAAGGCCGAGCCCCCCCCCCGCCATGCGCGGCCCCGGGCAGCGGGCGGCGCCGTCCCGGGCGTCCCCAGCAGGGGGCGCGAGGGGGCCGGAGAGTCGGTGGCCCGGTCGGTGGGTGGGTGGCAGGCGCCCCCCCCCCCGGCCCCCAGCGAGCTTGCCTGAGGGGAAAGGACTGGGAGATTGGGGCCCCACCAGCCCCACACGGGAAAAGCGCGCGGGGGGGGGGCGATCTTGCCCAGTTGGCCAGAAGCGGCGTGATGCAGGGAGCTATTTAGGGGCGGGGGGGGGCACAGCCGGAGCGCTGTGGGAGGAAAAGTGAGGCGGGGAAAGGTACTCTACGCATGCTCAGAGGCAACTCATCCTAAACCGGCAAGTTCTGGAAGGCAAGGGGATCGTAGCCTTCCCTGGAGGGAAAAGGAAGACGTGGCCAGAACTGGGCGGAGGTGCCAGTCCCGTGCAGGTAGGCGAGTAAATCCCATAAGGACCCCATCTGGATTAAGTTTAGGGTTGCCCAGCCTACGTGGATTCCTCCGAGGCACACTTGCAACTAAGCCCCGTTGAAAACGAGAGTTACTCCTGCGTGGACAAGTGTCAGCCTTCCCCAACGGAGCATCCTTGAGATGTGTCCGACTCCGACTCCAGCAACATGGCTGGGGATGATGGAAGTCCTAGTCTGACACTTTCCGGGGGGCTTCGTTCAGGGAAGGCTGATGGGCTTGTGCCGATCGCCTTGTAGTCCTTTCACGGAGTCCCTTGGGACTATGGAACTCAATGGGCTTACTTGGGAGTAGACCTATTGTGAAAAGGCTTGTGCCTGTGGGGATAAAGCGGAAGCCGGGGAGGGGAGGCAGGAGGCGAGTAATCGAGGGCATGGCGGAGCTGTGGCAGTCCAGCCTCGCACCTCTTGGGAGCTTTCGGACAAATCCAAGGCAAGGCCTCCTGAATCCCACACAGAATGAACCGCATGGGATTCCCTTCCGCAAGAAAGAGTGACAGGCATGTCTTAGGAGAGCTGCAGAGGGGATTAGGCAGGAAGAGACGGTGGCGGCGGCAACCGCAGCTATCTGTGCTACTAGTCCTCATGAAAAGGCACAGCTTCCAGAATCAGAATAGGCCTGTGCATGGAGCGGGGGGGGGGGGTCCCCCTGGACAGCTCGTTGGCCAGGGGGTGGGCAGATCACTGGACTAGAAGGTCCTGGTCCAGTGGGATCTTCCAAGTTCTAATGTCTATTCAAAAGTAAGACCCCTTCTATTCAACAGAGTTGATTCCCAGGAAAAGGACGAGTTGGGTTGCAGCCTTCATGCCCCCCCCCTTTTACTATTACTGTGAGATGGGGAGTGAGCCCATCATCCCCATCCTTGAGTGGCCCCAAGTTTTGGAAAGAAAGGAACTGAAGAGAAGAAAGCGGGGCGGGGATCATTATAAGGAAACTTACCGCACGGAGAGAGAGAGATGCTGGGCCGCTGGAGAAGCCGAGCTGTGAGCCAGCACGAACTTGGAGCCCGGACTTATAGGCGAGGTGGCGCCCCCAGAAGTCACCTGATCGGATCCCAAAGCCATGCCCACATCTTCCAAACCCCACCTTTATTGATTCGTGTTAGCTCAGCTTGCAAACCTTTCCACCCATCGGTGGGATGTTTTCCCCGTTCAGCCCTAAGGGGGAGAAACTTAACTCCTCTCTCCATTAATGTTTTGTCTCTGTTTCCCTTGCTGCTTCATGTCGTTTCCTCTCCCCTGGAATGTCATTCCCTCCCTGCTTCCAGCTGCTTTCTTACTCCCCCAGTTCTCTTTCGCTTTTTCTCATCCTTTTGCAACCTCCAGTTGCGTTTCCTTCATTTTGTTGCCGCCCAGATTTCGTTTCTCTAAAAGGCGGTGGCAAGGGGGACTGGAGAAGAAGGAAGGGGGAAACTCCACAGGGAAGACCCTGAATCCAACTTTTTGGATTCGTCTGTCTGCTGTTAACTTGCAAGCTGCGTGGAAACAGCACGATCGCAAAGTCTCTCGCAACCTATTTTTGATTTTTTTGCTTTGTTGCAAGGAGAGGTTCTGACGGCCCCCTGCTTCCCCGCGTCTCAAAATGCAGGCATCCCTGGTCCGCTCCATGGTTTTTACCTATTCTGCTTTTTCCTAAGAATGTGGAAAGGATGGAGCTAATCCCTCCAGCATCTGCTTGTGTGTCTTGGTGTCGGAGCATCTCCTCTCTGAACATGGAGTTAAAGGAGGGGTAGGAAAACTCAGGCCAAATTGGGCCCCCTGTGCTCCCAATTCCAACCTTGCGGGGTTCCCTGGACGGCCATGCCCCTTTCCTGGCCACATATCTCCCCACTTCCTATCCGTTGCCTGGCCTTTCCCCCTGTGCCTGGCCCCGTTTCAAAGACTGAGTTGACTCCCCTGAGACTTTAATATGGACCAGAAATGACTTTAGATTAAAATAGGCTGGAAGTTTTTCAAATGTTTCCCTTCCCCTTTTACCTTCAGTCCCACCCACCACCAGAATGTATGCTCCCACCCACGCTGAGGCCCTCTGATAAGGCATCTGGCCCTCAGGCAGAAAGTTTCTGCACCCCTGAGTTCAAGTGTAGGGGGACGTGCCAAATTTGGCATCCATACACAGCTGTGAAATTCCACAGCCATTCCTAGGATAGAGTCGAAGCCGATTTTGGGCGAGCAGCAACGAGGGAGGTTCTCGTGTCCACTTCTCCCTTCCCCTGGGGCAAGCCTCATCAGTGGAAAAAGTTGGGGCAGTGTTCGCAAGCCTTTGTTAATTCTAGCCTGGATTCTGCGTGTGACACCCTGTGATTTGGCGTTTGTGCCCAGCCCTTGTTTACTGTACTGCACACGGAGCATTTTTCTCTCAACCACTTTTGCTCCAGCATTTCAGACATGCAAATCTAGAAATCTGTGCATGCTTATTAGGGCTTCTGTTCAAAGAGGAAGGTTTGCATCAGACAGTACGATCGCTTCCTGGCACGCAGACAAGACTAGTCATCTTTTGTAGCTTCTGGAGAGTGTGCCCTTTATTGGATTTTGCCTGACGCCAACTCTGGACGATGCCAACCAGTTCCAAACGGGCCACCCCTTGCAAGAGGCCTCCCGCCAACCCTATTGAACATCCTGCTTGAAGAAATCATTGTAGGTCATGCAAAGGGAAGAGAGGAAGCCTGTGTACTCCTTGAAATCAATTTCCTTGTCATTGTTCTTGTCCAAGGTCTCCATCAGCTTGTCGATTCCGCTGTCCTTTATTTTCTGCATGGGAAAGAGTGGGAAGGTGAGGAAGAAACGGGGTGAAAATTCATGCTGGACTCTACACTGTGCTTTTTCTTTCTTTGGCCTCCCTCGTAAACTACAGGGAGGAAAAAGGGGGGAAGAGAGAGAGAGAGATGGGAAGAAGGAAGGTTAGATACATAAAAACAGAGTCAGAAGGGGTCTCCCGGGCCATCTAGTCTGACCCCCGGCTCCAGCCGGCTCCACTCACGACTTGGTAGATAGAAAACTGCAGACTGTAGAGAAACGACTGAAGGAGGGAAAGAGGAGGACAAAGGGAAAAAAGAAATGGGGAGAGAGGAGGGAGAGAAGGAAGGATGTCCCGAATGTTCCACAGCTGATTTCTTGCAGGGCTTCCAAAGGCTGGCCATGGATCTACCAGCAACCAGGTGGCAGCTGTGCCTGGCGGGCAGGAAGGTGGCAGCAGCTTTGGGTGTGCGGTTGTGGCAGGCCTCCTGAGTTTTGGCCCTTCCCCTAAAACGAGGCAAGATTCTAGTCCCTATGGCTCTGAATAAAGAGCTGTCGTAAACAGACTTTTCAGCCCAGTCTGTCCATTGGACTTTCTTAGCTCCTTTTGACACAGACACGAAGCTGCTCTCGAGGGTTTTGGACAGGAGCTTTGGCCGGTCTCACTTCAGCACGCCCTGCATGGGACCTGGGACCTTCGCGAGCTGACGACAACTAAGGGCCACAGTTCCTTCCCCAAAGGTTAGGGGTCCAGCCTCCTGTGCCCCCCAAGCACAGCCCCCCCATCTTCAGCTCCACTTGCCTCTCCCAGCACAAGCTCCTTCCGGACCAGCTCTTTCAGCTCCGCCTTGCTGAGCGTGAACCTGTCCCCCTCTCTCCCCGAGTATTTGTGGAACGTGCACACCAGCGTGGCCAAGGCTTTCTCCAGGGGCGTCTCCATGGCAGGTGGCTGCTGGCAATCTGAAAGCGGAGGAAAGCAATTTGAGCGGTGTGTGGCCAGCCACCAGGAGCAGAAGGGCCACCAAGTCTGGACCCATCACTTCTGGCACCATCCCGGGCTGTGAAACAGGCTCTTCTGTCCACAGTGTACCTCATTGCATCTCCCTCAGCTCCTAATTGCAGCACGCAACAGGCCTGCCTTGGGGAAAAACAGGCAACAGGCTTGAGACGCATGACTCGTGCCAGCAAGCCAAGTTGCGTTCTTGGACCCAAGGTCCCTCCAGTTCCCCCTTCTGCTTCTCGCAGTGGCCAGCCAGGTGTTTCTGAGCAGGGACTGGAAGTCACAGGGGCTCTCCAGGTGTTGCCAATCAGCAAATGGTATTCAGTGGTACACTGCTTTTGTGTATGGAGGCTTGATCTATCTGTCACTGCTCTGGCTGTGGATTTCTCCTGCAGGGTGTGGCTCTGGGTCTCCCTTGAAGGACATGGTCATGTGGACCACCCTGATGTGTTATGCACTTCAAAATCCACCACAACCACCACTCCTGACTGTAAAATGACCCCCCCCCCCAACCCATATGGAAACCAGGGCATTTCCTGCTGTCCGGCTGAGAGCAAACAAGCAGAAGAAACCCAAAGGAGGCTTAGGAAACAAATAGGACAACCAGAAGGAGATAATTATGCAATTAAGTTTGGGAGGAAAGGAAGGCCATAACAGCCCTATTAAATCGGGTCGGGATTTTCTTGGGAGCTCGTGTGAGTCCCATTTCCCGAGAGCAGAAGTAAATTCCTGAGATCAGTGGATGGAGCTTTTTGGTCTGCATCTACAGGGACACTGTTAAGGTGATGGAGAGAGGAAGCTGGTCCTAAGGGAGCGATTCACCCTTGGAACGTCTCCCAGCCTTGCAACGCCCCAGACTGGCTCCCTTCTGCCATTTCTGGCATTATATCCCAAGCACACTTTGGAGGGCGTGCGTCTCTTGGGTGACCCTGGGACCTACTACCGTGTGTGGGTGGAGTTGTATCGATCATTACAATGATCGGAAGTTAAACGGCCTGGCAGCAGCAGCTGCATCACCCAGTGGGCATTGTATGCCCCCTACCCCACGTCCATGTGGGTGCATCTCCAAGAATTATGCTGGAGAAAAGTTATCCATACTTTGCTCCCAACTCGCTTTGCCCAAGAATTAACGCGGGAGGGCCTGGAAAAGGAGCTGAAAATGCTCGTAATTCATCTTAACAAGGTAACCCTGCCAGTCCCTGCAAAACCGGGACACCAATTTACCTTGTAAAATGTATTGTTGTTTTTGCATTTTAACGTGTATGCAAACCTGAACACCCATTTTGCCATTACGAATGCACCAAATTTTATATTTATGTACATGCACATTTGGATCAGATTTTTTTTTTTTGGGAAAGCATACTTAATTATGCTTTAATGTGGAATGTGCTCCCTGGAGAGGTGCGCCTGGTGCTGAGTCTATATTCTTTTCAGCACCAGGTCAAACCTTTTTATTTAATCACTATTTTATAAGATTAATATTTTAATTGTGTCGAACAGTCACTTTGATTTTTCTCTATATAAATTTTTATTGAATTATGTAATGTATACATGTGATTTTATTGTATTTCAATTTTATGGCTTGTGAGCCATCCCGAGATGCCAAGGCATAAGGCACAGCATGCAAAATTTTTAAATAAATAATTGCAAAATGGGGGAGATGTTTAGGTTTGCCAAATACGTTTTCTTGTATCGCAGTTCCGCTGTAGGAGCTTTTGTGAATGGTTGTTGTAGCTATTAGGCAGTATAGAAAGGAAATAAATAAAAATAACATTTTTGTGGATATAGAAACCTTAACCCCTTATGAGCAAACTTCTCCTCCCTCAGGCCTTTGCTCCATTAATTAACCTTTGCAAGAAAATCGCTAATAGGAGTCCTGGAACTCTCAGAGGTTCAAAAGGGTAGAGTGTTTCCTTTTGCTGATCACGAGGAGAACGGCTAATAGCAATCGCAATTCTCTGAGTGCTGATGGTTTGTGTGGCCCCACCCTGAGGCAGGTGGAAGGTATTGGCCGGCATTAACTGCCTGATGTGTCCATGTGGGTGTGCAGATAGGCATACCGGCGTGTACTTCATGCCAGCTCTGCATTCTCGCACATGGATATGGGCTGGGGACAGGATATTTTATCTATTTATTTGGAAATCTTATACTCAAAAGCCTCGGGGCGGCTTCCGACACAAATAAATAGCAGTACAGATACTTACAAAACTGGAAACATCCTGGCATAAATATAAAATCAAGAAATAAAATCAGCAATTAAAATAACGTCTAAATAAAAAGGTCTTGGCCTGGCGCCGAAAAACAAATAACGACGGCGCCAGGCGGACCTCTCTGGGGAGCGCGTTCCATAAGTGCTCTGATGTATTTCCCCTCTGACATCATTATTTAACTTGCAGGGTGGTCTGTGCATCAGAGGTAGTGTCACAAGTAGTCCCCTTTACCTAATCATTCTGTCCGAGATTTTTTTCCTGAAATTGGATGCCTCCATCTCCCCTCTTCAGGTTGAGGGGTCCTCCGAGACACAGTACTTCATAGATTTTAAAACATGTGTACGTATCTGCATTTTTCTGCGCTGTGGGATTGAGCCACAGGTCTTCTTGGTGAGAGCTACCTTGTGTGTGTGTGTGTTGTAGAACTGAATATTGATGAACGCCAACTAGCTGGTAGAATTTTTACTGGGACTTCCTGGCGATAGCGGGAATAGAATAGATTAGGGGGCATGGTTTGCAAGAGAAGGTGCAGAGAGAACTGGGAGCGCCCTTGCAAATCGGGCAGCTGGGGTGTCTTCAGATTTGCCATCCTTCATGGAGAACCCATCTTGAAATTTCCTGGTTAAATCATGAGATGGGCCGCAAGCAAACCAACATCTGCAGAGAGATGCAAGTCTCTCCTCTGGCTTGGTTTGGGCAGCTGTGAAGAGCGCAAGAGGCCTTCTTGAGAAAGAAGAGAAGGTGAGCAACCCAGGAACACACACAGTTTGGTGATTCAGTCAGTTGGTCTTTGCTTCGCTTTCCAGGCAGGCAAATCAAAGTGCCGCCTCTTGAGGATGCAGATCAACCCATGCATTCTCCAGGCAATGCAAGCGTTGACACTCGCTTGATTTGCTTATTCTCTAATGATGTGGGTGCTTGGATAAGGTTCAAAAGTTTTTTGGAGGCATCTGGCAGGCCGACAGTGCACGGTGGGTGAGCTGTGTCTGACATATGAGAAATTTCACTGTTTGCTCCGGGGAGAGGCTCCCTCCAACTCTAAAACTCTAAAGCTGCACTATTATTTCGAGAAAACCCTGTTCTATGGTGGGCAGTCCGTGGAGAGGGCACTCCTGCATTGATCTGCATGCAATAAGGTCCAAAAATAGTAATAGCCCCACCCCATTGGAGATGTAAGACTTGTCCTTGCTCAAAGTCCTAAAGAACTTTCCTGAGAGGCAGTGTGGCGTCGTGGTGAAGAGTCTGGGACTGGGACTCAGGTGGTGCAGGTTCGAGTCCCCGCTCCACAGGGTTGTTGTGGGGATAAGATGGAGGAGGAGAATGGTGTAAGCTGCCTTGAGCCCTTTGTAGGAAAAAGGCAGGATATAAATCGAAAAATAAATAAAACTTGAAATGCCTGGAAAAAACGCTCCGGTATGAAACATAAGTGAATGAGGCAATTTACTCATCATCCCTTCCCCTGGGCTGTCTTCCTTCCATGAAAATGTACTTTGTACTTTCGCTTTTTGAAAAAGTAAGTGGCTAGTCCTCATGGCTGTGAAGATAAGCTTAGAGGGCTAGGCAGGCAGTGCCAAGTGACATTTGAGAAGCTACAGGTGCTGCTGGATAGGATTGCTTATGGCAAGAAAGTGGGACTTCCTGAGTATTTGCCCAGGTTCTCTAATGTGGTGCTCTTCAAATGTCTTGGGCGTCAGCTCCCATCATCCCCAGCCAAGAGGGCAACTAGGCAGGAATGCTGGCAAATCATCCAGAAGTCCCTAGGTTGGCTCAGTGTAGGGGAAAATGGCTCCTTCTCCGCCTGCGGCTTGGGCTATTTGTTGTAAGGCGTTGCCCATGAACAATTAATTGGATAAACTGAAGAATAAATAGATCTCAGTGGGCTGATCCTTTGGATTATTTAGTGGAAGCCACAGGCAGTTAACTGTGATTTGAATGGCAGGAACCCCAGTCAACAGAATTGGGTGTGGTGTTTAAAGGATTAAGGATATCAAATCTATATTCTGACTGAGCTCCCATACCAAGGTGAAAATAAACTAATTTCCTGGGTGCCGATTTAAATTAGCCTCCATGCAGAATCAGAAGGGCTAGAAACTTGCTTCATTTTCCTGGAGCAACAGGCTGACTCAGAGTCAGAATGAGTCAGTGACTCAACACTGTAAGTAAAAATGCTGTGATGGTTTATGGCTGTTAGCAGCATCCTTCATCAGCTCAAACGGGGCCCGATATAGGCGCATCGGTCGCGAGGTCGTCCCTGTCACTATAGGATCTATTCTGGGATGCAGAATAGAGTCGGAGGGGGCAGTGCCAGGTTTCCCTGAGCTTTTGGAAGGCAAACAAAGGACCTGGGAACAGAGTGGAGATGAGTATCTAGAAAGCGTTGTGAAAAGACGACTGGAAATCTGTTTCAAGCAATTAAAAAAGCAAAACCACAGACACAAAGCAACGTGTTCAGCCAGTCCGGAGTGAGCAATTTTCAACAATCAGTATTAAATAAAAGGAACTCACCAGATGCGATCGTGGCCTATGAGCTCGCTGGAGAGGCAAACAGGCAACTGGGTGCGGTGGGTAATTTTCCTCCTATTCTCTTCCCGGGGATCCCCAGAGTCTGATGACGAGGCTCCAAGGGGCATTGCTCGGAGGTTGCCAGGATCTGTCCTGAGGGACAGCTGCTGCTTTTCTGCCCTCTTTCCCTCCGATTGCTGCTGACAGCCCTTGAGTATGCCTGGGCTTCAGTCCGCCATCCCTGATCCACAGGCGCTGGCTTTGATCGAGGGTGGCCGCTGAGGATGTCACATAGGACAGTCCTCGCTTGAAAAGCAGCCTTGGGTGGAAAGGGTGCCTGTTCTGGGCCCAACTTGAAGGTTAAAAACTAGAATAACAATCACAAAGCAACAAGAGGGAAACAGCGAGGGCCTGAATCCCTGCCTTGTGCCCGGACACAAGCCTCAGCAGGCACATGGGTGGCGTGGTTGCAGTTTGCCCAGCCTCAGGTTCTCACGGTGCATCTGTGAGCACGGCAGCACCCCGGAAGGTGCCCCGAATGGTCCCCGCACACCTCTTTGTGCCCTTGTATCTGTTGTCCTGCCTGTCGCTGGATAGCTTTGGGTGAGTAGGAAGAGGAAGCAAGGCGGAGAGAGAGCCGGGGAGAGAAAGGGAGAGACAGGGCAAGGCTGGGCATGGAGGGGAACAGCAAAGCGAAGGGGGAGTGGGAGAGACAGGGCAAGGCTGGGGGCTGCGCAGAGAGTGAGAGGAGAAAGCCAGCGAGGCAGAGCGAGAGGAAAGGGGCCAAGTGGAGAGAAATAGGCAGACCTGAGGCTGGGAGGGAAGTGAGGGAGTGCACAGAGGCAAAGAAGACGACTGGGGAGCCAGGAAAAAGCACGTTCCAGTCCGCCCTCTGCTAAGCATGCTGGCTGGGGCTGATGGGAGTTGTAATTCTAAACATCGGGAGGGCTGTGAATGGGGAAGGCAGTCCTAATAAATCAATTAGAAGTTGTGCAAAATGTTCAGAGACTTCCTAGGCCTTGGAAGACAACGCCTTCTGCTCGGCTTGAAGATTCAGAATCCCGATGGATGGCCGAGTGTGCGGCCCCATTTCCAATCAAGGAAACTGATCAAGGAAATTTAACAAGGCAGGAAAGCGGAACGAGTTAGGCTTTCACCAAGGGGAGAGACGGGACGAGGTGAAGAGGGAGGCGCCTGCTGGTTCCAGCAGCCACGGCCCTGCCCCTGCCCAGCCAGGTGGCACACAAACAGGATGCCGGGGGCAGGTGGGGGACCTGTTGCTCAGCAACGGAGAAGCCAGGGGACCTTGCCAGGGGAGGAGGAGACCGGCGGATGATGCAAAACGGGACCAGGCGCAGAAGTGCCGGAGGCCTTGCCTGCTGGGAGAGCGGACCGGGGTTCTGGGGGTTCTTTCTTCCTTTCTGGGCTTGGCTTGGTCTGTTCTGGCAGGCGGCACGTGAGGGCTGGAATGCTTTCCTGGAGAAGGGGGCTGTTTGCTTGTCGGCCGAAGAATGGGCTGCTTTGTTCGGGGTAGAAAATAGAGGGCTATTGACCAGGCAGGCCGGAGAGACCGTGAAAGAGCGCAAGGGCGAGCGGACCGAGGCTGCAGCCCAGGCCCTGGCCAGACACAGGGCGCGCCAGGCATTTCGGTGCTGCTCTGGCCCCAGGCCCCTTTCCAGGGGTTCTGGAGGCCCCTGGTAGCAGGCAGCCTCGGTGACTCTTCTCATGGCTCTGGTCATCAGCTTCTCTTCCTCCTGCCGCTGCTGCGCTCGCTTGCTCAACAGGCAGTCAGGCGGCTGTGGCGTCTCCCAGTCCCCCCAGCATGGCCACTGGTGAGTGGTCCGTGCCCCCAGGCAAGACTCAAAGCAAGGGCTGCACCGTAATGCTTGCCCTTGCACAACTCCAGTCACCACCCAGCCCCTGTTCTCTGGGCCCGTGCGCAGGACAGAGTCGGTTGATCCTGACTGAGGCTGAGCCGCCTCTTTGGCAGAACCACCCCAAACTGGGTGGAACAAGCCCCGGGAAGCTTGGAGGAGCCCAGACTGGGCTGGCAGGCTCCGGAGGGAAAGAGTCTGGGGATTTATCTGCTCCACACAACGTTTACATCCTGCTGAAAAATGCCACCATGGCAGTTTTATGCCTGTCGGTTCTTGGGGTGAGTTGGAGCGAGCCAAGCTCAGTCGGGAGCCTACACCTTGGCTCGCCCCACACAGCCAGTTCTGAGCTGGTCTTTTTTCGACAGATTGCAGTTCAGCAACACCTGCTATTAGAATATGCAACCACCCATAGATGGAGGAGAGAAACCCTCGGCTGATTCGAAGGAATCCCAAGGGCCGAAGAAAGGAAAAACCCTCCGAAAAATTAAGCCACCTATTTTGCTAGTAATCTTGCTCATGATTACAAGCAGCAGCCTTGTCGCTTGGAGGACACTGGCATCCAAAGTTACCTGTTTGCTGAGCTTGTGCGGAAGGTTTTCCTCCTTGCTGAGCCCAAACTATGGAATATGCTCTTGTAAGAACGACGGCTGGGCTGCTAGAAAACGTGTGAAGACTCTTGTTTTCCTATTTATCCTTTTAAAGCCCGTTACTTTCAATGCTTTTAGGCTGCATGTTTAGAAAGGGCGAAGCTTTACAAACTGCATGCACAGAATTGCACTCTTCCGTGTTTTTAATGCTCTTGTCAGCCTTGCTGCAGGGTTTTATAGTTTTAAATCGTTGTGCGCTGCCTCAGTGGCTTTTTTCCTTAGCAAATCTTAATAGGACAGAAAACAGACATTTAAAGCCCCCTTCCAAAAACAGGCTGATTAAAATTTAGCTGGGTTGTTTAGACTTGTACCCTTGCCTTTCTTGACTCGTGTGTGTACGCTTTGTGACCCTCCAGTTTTGTTAGTTTTCGAACAGCACTTTCAGTGTCTTTTCCCCCCTTTTCTTTTTAGAGCAGGGAAATGTGGTATTATTTGCAAAGGTGACGGCAGAGGTATTCATTTGTAGTATTCCACCTTGCCATATCACTACCTACCTAGTGGAAAAGTAGGGAAGGGAAGGAGCGTTGTGTAGAGCTTGGCTCTCAGTGCTGGGATGATCAATAGATACAGCAGGGTAACAACCTTGGTGGCGAAAAACCCTGGAATGGAACCTCCTGGAAGGGGCTCCGGCCTGCTGGCTGGCTGAGCAACCGGCTAGCATTTCAAGCAGGAGTTTTCTGCAACCGTTTTTTGCAATTTGCACTTGTTTCTCAGGATGTCGTGTCCTAATTTCTCCCAAAACCATCACCCACCCCTCAGACGTAACTCAAGCGCCCAAGTACTCTTTCCTCTGCCATAGGCGGGCGACACGTCCAGTTCAACACCCGCTCCCGCCACAACTAGCGTTGCCAAATCAGTGTATTTATCAGTTCAGTTAATGATACTTAAACATGCTTGCTCAGTATAAAAAAGTAAATTTTGAGGCAGCCCCTGTCGATGTCCTAGAGTCAGGGATGAGATCTGCACAGGGCAAATGCCTGCAGATCCTTCTTTGGTTCATGCCGCGGAAAGCCCGGAGGGCGGATGTAAAGGTCCTTCAGGGCAGCTATTAATCATGGCAGCTAAATGGAACCTGTTGGGTTGAGAAATGCAGACCATCTGCTCCATTGCCATGAGGGCGGTGTATCCACTCCGGTTTCAGTCTCAGCTGCTAAGGAGCGACCTCCAAGCAGCTTCAGCACCCTGGACAGCTCCTTTAAAGTTGAGGCTGAACTCTGGCGTGGATACACTGCCCCACAGACGTGGGAGCTGTCGGTCCTGGCTGGGCGGGAGGTCTCATTGATCCCTGTGCTAAGGTGCCAACTGAGAGAAAAAGAGTCCGATAGAGCCAAGAGGTACAACAGGGCCCGTATGGTGAAGGCAACTTTATTGGGGAATCGCAAGGGGGGGACCCCTCCTTTTCTCGTGCTCACTTGGTCCGCGGCATCTTGTCAGAGCAGCCTTGGAAGAATTCATTGCACGCCATGGCGATGCACGCGAGGAAGACTGCATATTCCTGGAAGTCCACCTCGTTGTCCTGGTTGGCATCCAGGTTGCTCATGATCCTCTGGAACGTGGCTTCGTCTTTCTTTTTCTGCAGGAAAAAGTCCTTCAAGTTATTCCTTGAAAGAAGCGAGTTGATGGTTTGCTTCCTTACGGATCGCCTCTTTTCCACTTGCAAGCACATTTACATAATTCTCTTCCTCCTCCCTCTTTTATCCTCACAACAACCCTGTGAGGGAGGCTTGACTGAGAGTCAATGACTGGTCCAACCTTACCCTGTGAGCTTTTGGGGGTGGATTAAGCTCAGATCTCCAGTGCTCTAACCACTAGGCCTACCGAAGAACTCATTTTGAGAAGACGGCTGCATGAGCAGGGGGAATGATTTCACACCTGCTCTTGCAACTCTCCTATGAATAGCCGCTGTCGATTATGCGCTTTTCTGCATCCGATTTCCTTCTTGCTTCCCACTAGCGGCCAGCCCTGAGCCTGCAGGCCAAATATGTACCCTCTGGGAATGCAGACAAGCCTGAAATCTGCAGAAGCTGGAGCCTTAACTTAAAGCTCTTACGTCAGTAAGACTGGCATTTTGACTGGCATTTTGGATATTTTGGCGCAGCCTCTTTTCGGCTTGGTCCAGTCCACTTCAAGGGTCTGGCTCCAACAGCGCTCTGAAATTAAATCTGGCTCTTGGGCAGAAAGATTTACAGCCCCTCCGGTTCAGAATCCCACTCCCGACCCCAAACCGTGTATAAATATTCCTGTAGCTCAGAGTATGATTGAGCAAGTGAGTTGAAATCTATAAAATCGTATTCCGGGTTTCTCCTACCTTCCTCCATGCTGGCCAGGGATGATAGGAGTTGTAGTCCAACACCTCTGGGGGCTGCTGGGTTGGAGGATGTTGGCTGCAATGGCTTGGAGCTGGGCCCCATAATCATTTTGGACCTCTGGGTGAGTTTGGGAATTTGGGGAACGGCTGCAGGCACAGCTACAGGGAGGCACCCTTGGGAGATGCGGCTAGTTAAGGTTGTGGTTGGTAGTCGCAGGCAAGTTAAAAGAGGAGGAGGAGGAGGAAATGGTGGGGTTAGAGCTCAGAGGGAGGAGAAAAGCAGGGCAAAGGAGAGCCCGGGGAGGGAGCAGGGGTAGAGGCTAGGAAAGGAGCAAAACAGGAAAGTCCAACCGTTTCTCAAGCTTTGCATGAAAAACAAGGGGATTTTTGAAGGAGTGATTGCTTTGCGGGAGTCGCTGGAGCTTCTCTGCAAGGGCTGCATTGGCCCTGGCCCTGATCGGAGGGCGGAAACGAAGGCCAGGGGCCTTCCTGCATTTTTCACGTTGGGCACATGAGCTCCTTCTGCCGCTTGGGCCGAGCACTGCACGCGGCCCAGCCGGCAGCATTTCCCGTTCGGGAACTCTCCGGCTTGCTCTGCTTTTGCTCCCATGCCAAGAATTTGTTTATGAAACACACTGTGTGCGTGGGGGTGGGGGGTGGGGGGTGGGGAGAGCGCCTTTCCCGTCAGGCCCTGGTGCATTGATGCGGTTTGGCTGAGTGCGCGACTGACTGAGCAGCCAGCTGATCCAGAGATGTGGAACACAAAGCGGCCGGCCTAAACCCATTTGGCAAACGGAGGAGGAAGAGGAGGCGGGCATTTGCGGTTCTGGGTGGGTGCGCAGCCGCCGTAATCCCCCTGGGCACACTTCCAAATGCCATGCAAACTTGTCATGCTCTCTTGAGCATTGCATTCGGCACGCATGCAAAGAAGTCTCTCTTGTCTGTCCTGAATTTTCGGCAGATCACTGCAGCAGCTCTGTTTTAGTTCGGGATTCCCAGTCCCATCATCTGCCACCATATGCTCTGGGGCTGATAGGAATTCTCCTCAAAAACATCTGGAGGCACCAGCTTTTCTGGACCTCTCTGTGTATGATGGGAGAAGGAGAAAAATTCTCTCTTTTTCCGTGCTACAGCACGGATGTCTTTGTGTGTGGCGCTTCCACACCAGTCTTCAGTCTGAACTTGAATGGAGCTTCCTGTGGTGCTGAGCCCTGGTTAGCGATAAGCTTCAGGACCACAGATAGCTCCTTAACAGCCCATGCTAAAATCCGGAGTACATACACCACCCCAGTAATGTTGGAACCACCAGTGCGTGCATCCTTGGGCCAAAGCCATGCTTGCGCAGCAGGAGCATCGCTCTAAATGCGCACGGACAGGTCCGTCGCTCACTTACACCAGCGAATCCTGGCAGTTCCCTCTGCAGCAGATCCTTCAGCTCAGACTTGTTGAGCTTGTACTTGTCCCCTTCTTTGCTGGAATACTTGTGGAAGGTCGACACGATGACGTCCAAGGCATTCTCCAGTGGTCTTGCCATTGCACAGCCTGTCGAAACCTGCGAACGAGATGCCCAGGCTTACATGTGCCTCTAAATCCCAGGGCTTTTTTTGTCAGAGAACGCAGCGGAAGGGCGTTCCGGCACCGTTTTTTCCATGGATTTTACCAAGTGATTTTGAACAGGTAGCGGATCAGCAGCAAACATCTTTAACATAGTGCCTGAAGGCTGCTATTGTGTCTGCGATCTGATCTGATCGTGAGAGATAGCTGCTCCAGCCGCTGCTCCGCTGCTCGGCTTGGGATTGGTGTGTGTGCTTACTGCCCGTGGGATGGGGACGTGAGTTCCGGCACCTTTTTTTTTTTTTTTTTACAAAAAAAGCACTGCTAAATCATATATGCAAGTGCGTGTACACGCACGAATGAGTGTGCAGTTATGAATTTGTGTGAAGGTCTGGGCAATTCTGCGGGGCGTCTGTGTCACATGTCAGGAGTGAGGTGCCTCTGCCTGTTTTGGATGTGGCTGATCAACATTTTTCCCAGTCTGGGAAAAATGGGAACCTTTGTCACCGTCCAGCATGGGAAATGATGCATTTCTGATGAGCTGTTGGCCGGGGACAAGAGTTTTCTTCCTGCCAGGTTGCTGCAGAGTGTCTTAGGCCTGCCTGCTTCTGAGTCTTGCCCGGCTTACCTGTGACTAAACCTGGAGTTCATGCTTACCCCTGGGTGATCTTCTTGCTCCTGCTTACTTCTGCGTTATTTATCTGTGTCGTGCTAGGCAGAGGTTTGGCAATTGGGGTGCTATTTGAAAGTGCTGCTGAGGGAGTCAGTTCCGTTGACCTGCCTGCTTAAAACCAGTAAGACTCCCATCAGCCCACCCAGCACATCCAGTGGCACCAAGATGGCCACCCCCCGCCCCCCGTGAACTGGAGCAACATGGCTGCATTTTTGGACACTGCTTGGGGGCACGGTTAGGGGGAGTGTCCCAAAAGCTGCGGCTCCTCCAGATGTCCAAGTCTTGCAGATGGGTTGTGGCAGCCGGTGTGGCATATTGGTGGAGAGCGTGGGACTGGGACTCAGGTGACCTGGGTTCGAGTCCCCGCGTGGCCACGGAGCCGATTGGGTGACCACGGGCCAGTCGCAGAGCCTCAGCCCAACCTACCTCGCAGGGCTGTTGTTGTTGTGGAGATAAGACTAAGAGCATGAGAACAATGTGAGCCGTTTTGAGTTTGTTGTAAGGAAAAAGCAGGCTACAAATCTAAATAAACAAAGAGGAGCAAGACTTTGCAGCAAGAGTGGACCAGACGACCACAAGGCCCATCTGTGCAGAAAGGCCTACGGGCGTATAGCTAGACTGGAAGATGCCGAGGAGAAAAAAATGTGGAGAGGAAATGAAACCAGAGGCTGGGAATCAAAGCCGCTGGCTTGCTGTTTATGTCTTGTATTTGTGCTTTATTTTTTTCCAAACTTTTGTGTAGCCTCAGGGCTGGGCTTGCCCTCAGTGGTCCACACCCAGCTTGGTCAGCTGAGGAAGCAGTGGGGGAAAGCGAAGAAAAGAAATTCTGAGTCACGGTTCAGGCTTGAGAATTGATGGGCACTTTTGGAGTTAGACAAGGCCGATGCAAAGCAGCAAGGACAGGCTCGGGAAGGTCTTTGTGTCTGCGGGTGGTCTGAGGAAGGCTGGGGCGCCCCATTTCCAAATCGGTTGCCACCGCGGCTCTGTTGCAATAAAAACTACCAAGGGAGGGTTTCCCTATTCCTTCCAGGAGAAATTGTGCAGCTTTTCCATGGTTCCCTCCTGAAGGGTTTTTTCCCTCAATTACAAAAGCATGACTAAAGGAGCAGTGGGAAAATATGAGAGGGGTTTGAAAGGAAGGCAACGGCAGGAACCGCCCCCCTGCGTAAAATTCCAGGGGTTCACAAAAGTCTGATTTAGAAGCACAGAAGCATCTTCTGGCATGTGACAAATGTATAGACCGCAGAAGTTGTACTAAATGTGACGTCTTTTATTTTATCTATTTATTTATTATTTCGATTTCTATCCTGCCTGTTTCCTACAAAGGGCTCAAGGCAACGTACATCATTCTCCTCCTCCATCTTATCACCAGAACAACAACCCTGTGAGGTAGGTTGGGCTGAGAGGCTGTGACTGGCCCAAAGCCACCCAGTTGGCTCCATGGCCGAGCGGGGACTCGAACCCGGATCGCCTGAGTCCCAGCCCCAGGCTCTTTTCAGTGTGGGGCAGTTGTCCAGTTGGAAGCGTGTGCTGGGTGCTCACGCCGATAGTCTCCATAGCCAAGGAGAATCCAAAAATTCAAGCAGTGGGCATCCAGCCCATTTCTAACAACATTCCCCTCCACCAGGAGTGGGTCTTGTGTCGAGAGAGTGGGTCCCCACGGCCCACTCGAGAGCAGCCCATCCAAAAGACTCGGGCATTACAACTCTGCTTCCTGGAATAACTTTTCCCACTCCCAGTTCCTGTGAGGACCGCCATTAAGCCTAAGGGGCACAGAGAAACTGGAGGGGTGTCCGAAGACAGCAGCATCCACAAGCCCTGGCTCTGTTACGCCACTGACCCTCAGGGTCTTTGTTGGAGTTCTCCAATTTGACAGTTGCTAAAATTTTGTCCTCCAACCAGTGGCCAGGGAAAGAAACATAGAAACAACGCGAGTCTGAAGGGGTTTCCTGGGCCATCTAGTCTGACCCCCAGCTCCAGCCGGCTCCGCTCATGACATGCCCACCTTGTGCATGTCCTGCCTGTCCTTGAACACCCGCACCGTTGGGGCCCCTACCATCTCCCATGGAAGCCATTCCATATTCTAGGGGTCCTAATTTCCTGGCATCCAAATTGAACCTTGGCTCCCTGAGCTTTATCCTGCCTTCCTCTGCAGGGGAGAACAGGTCTCTCCCCACCTCCGTGTGACACCCCCTCACATACCTGTATGTCGCCAACAGATCCCCCCTGAGTCTCCTCTTCTCCAGGCTGAAGAGGCCCAGTTCCCTCAGTCTCGCCTCATACGGCTTCCCCTGCAAACCGGCCACCAACCTTGTGGCCCTGCGCTGCACTGACTCCAACCTGGCTCTATCCTTCCTGCAACGAGGGGCCCAGAACTGAGCACAAGACTCCAGTTGCGGGCGCACCAGAGTCGTACAGAGTGGCGGCAACACCTCTCTCGACCTGGAAGCCACGCGTCCATGCTAGGAGTCCCTTTTTATACGTCAGTTACAAAATGCTGGTCATTACGGCTGCGTGTGCCTCTTTAGGGAGAGGAAGAATTTTTATGGTTCATCTTGGTGCCCTCCAGATCTTTGGGGTGACAACGTGTGGCATTCCTAAGCACTGGCTGAAGGTTTTCAAAGCCCACAGCTTTGGGGAAAAGCCGTTTGGAGCTTTTGGCCTGCTGGGCATTCACACGGGATCCTTGGACAGCTCATCCAGTTTCAAGCACCAGTGGCTGGTCACTCACCAGAGCGGTAAACCCCCGCTCCAAATGCAGACATTTCCTTTCCTCAAAATAAAGAAGGGAAATATTCCCTGATATAGGTAGGAAAGGATCTTCACACACACACACACACACACACACACAGAGTTGACAGAGAGACCCCACCCACTCACAGTCAGAAACCTCGGGCCATTTGCTGTCCCTCAGCCTACACTGCAGGGTTGTTGTTTAATTTCTTTTTTTAGAAATTTTTATTAAGATGTTAAACTAAAACTACACATATCAATCATCACACGCATCAGATTTACTGGGTCAGCCCCCTACAACATATCTTTTAACATTCTATGATCATACTAAAATGCTTTTATAATAACATGAAAACATCTTTAGAGCAAAACCAAGTCCCGTTTCTCCAGCCAAATAAAAAAGTAATTCCAAATTTGATAGAAGTCACTATCTTCCTTGTTGTTGTTTAATTTCTATACCACCGAATAGCCGAAGCTCTCTGGGCAGTTTGTTGTGAGGCAACAAATGGGGAAGCCGAAAGGGGAAGGGCTATATATGCTAGCTTGAGCTCCTGGATTTGAAAAATTTACTGCAGTTTTTTAAAGAAATGCATGTTTTAGTTTTCTTTCTTAAAAAAGGATGCTAGGGGCAGGTCTTTTGGAAAGTGAACAGGTCTGAATTGCCTGTTCAGGACCAAGCCTGCCCCAAATACTTAAGCTGAAGACAGAGGATGATAGATCGGTGCCAGGAAAGTATATTTCCCCCTCCGACTGCGGGGATTGCAGCTTAAGCTCAGAGCAAACCGGGAAGTCCGATGGCAGATAGTGTTGGGTTCCCAGCTAATTGAAAAGTAGCTGCATCTGTGTGCACACCGGTTCTGCTGAAATATCGCTTTCTAAATGCTTGCAAAGCCTTAACAAAATCCATTTCAGGACACCAAAGGGGCTAAGCGGCTGGAGAGTTTCTTGCAGCATTGCTAAGTGCTTGTGGCTTTTAGGCAAAACGGCAACATGGGACAATATTCTGTGAGTAGGAAAATTCATCTCCCACCGAGAGAGAATTGCGCTGAAGCTCAGAGCGAACCCGGAATTTGGGGGGAATGGCATTAGCATCCCCACGAAACCACAAGCACGGGTGCTAGGCTCTGCCACTCCACCCTAATCTACCTCGCCGGAAAGTGGAGTGGCGAAGAACTAAGCAAGCAGTTCACAAGAGTTAAAAGGCAGCCTGTGAATGAAATGTAACCTCTCTGTGCGTGAGACAGAAAGATGCAAAACCACCTCTCGATGCACAGTTTCAGATTCTCTCTTGTGCGCCACCTTTCTGATTACCTTCTCTGTTAGCTGTCTAAAAAGTCCACTTTCCTCTTGAGATTTGCCTTCAAGGCAGCTTATTCGATTCACTTCCAACAAAAAAATTGTTGAAGGATGAAGCTCAGCTTTCAACAAGAGAAGCGAATGCAGAAATGAGTGTGTACTCCAGATGATATGGGGCATGTGTGTGGGACACATCTCTCTGTCTGGATATACAGGTTCAGAGATTTCTGTGTATGTGCATTTTTTCAAAGTGCCACACCCAAAAAGTTGGGCTTCTGCAGGCCGGATTGGGCTTCCCAGTGATGCATATTTTCCATGCTTTAACTTACTAGCTCTAAGTAAAGGGCTTAGGGAAGTATGTGGGATGTCGAAGATCCCCTTTCCAGTCACCACTGGAGCTGTGTACATAACATTTGCGATTGCATAATAGCCCAAATCCAACACATTCGAGGGGAAATACAGATAGACTGATAAGTTCCACATTTCTGTCCTGCAATTAGTGGTAAACGGTTTGGAAAGAAGCTATTTTTAGTTCCTATTCTTGCTACTGTCTTTTCTATACTGCCAAATACCCTGAGAAGTTTGCCCAGTCTGCGAAAGTGGCATGTTTTTAACGGAGGCTTTTTTCATGCAAGTGCCCTGCCTCATTTACAGAATTTTTGGGGGCATCCAAACGTTGCCATTGAGGAATTCCTTTTTTTCTTTTTTATCAGACAAACCTGTAAGGGGGAAAAGATGGGTTTACCGCCCAGCGGTTTTGCACTGGAAGTGCTAGGAGCTGTCCATCGGGAAAAAGCGATAAAGGAGCAGGACGGGAACAAGAAAAGCACTGGCAATTGGTGTGCCAGTCCCAGAGCTGGAGAACATGGCAATGGAGATTACTCCTTTTAATTTAGCTCCTCTTTTGGGCCCCTTTGAGGCAGAACCTGGGAAAAAAGCTAACCGAGTGTCCCACAGCTCCTTCCCACTCGGCAAGGATTAAAAACAGACCCCAGCTGCAGAAAAAACGAGACAAGACTTACCGTAGCAACCAAACAGGAAAGCAGTATATGACACCAAAGGGAAGATTAAAATGACAACAGATCTGAGTCGTATTTAAAGCTTCGGAAAGTCCATCCTTTTATTTAGGGTATACACCCATCGGCTGCAGAGGAAAACCAATCAGAATGCCCCCGGGTTTTGTGGGCCTCGCTTGGCATGACGGGCTCTGAAGGTGATTGTGCGCCACCCCACCCACTTTTCTCTCCAAATTCCTCAGCCAATTCTTTCCAGCAGTTTCGCTCAGGGGGCCTTGAAATGCCAGCTGTGGCAAATCCAGCATAAAGCTCTGGAGGCGGGAAAAGAGAGGGAGGGAGAGACAGGCAGAAAGAAGCAAAGACCGGAAACCATACCAGAACAGTTGTACAACAGAAGAAAACGTAAAAGAGGACTGGCACATCCTAAAAAAATACCACGAGTGGCATGCTTGAAACAGATTCGCCCTAAGATCTACTCACGCAACGTTATCTCCACCCGCCTCAGCCCTTCACACTAGTCTTTCTCAGCCCGGCTTCCACTTCGATGCTCAGTTTTGCTCTCCCTCCATCCTTCTCGGAGCCTGGGCATTGTCCTTGGTGTTACGGCACTCGCGGCTGGACGGCGGGGCTGTCCTGGAAAAAGTCATGGAAGAAGGTGCAGGCGGCTGTGATGAAGCGGATGTATTCTTCAAAGTCGACTTGGTTGTCCTTGTTGGTATCTAGCAACCCCATCAGCTCTTCATAAGCTCCATCTTTGATTTGTAGCTGGCCTCCCCGTATGGGGTCAGGAGAAAAAGAGAATTATCAATGAATAAGGGGCCCTTTCAGGATTCTTAAGCCCTTGGGCAGAGGATAAAGCTATCGGTGGTGACTCATTAGCATGGCTGCTTGTTGCTTGCAGTAATGAAGGCAGTCCCAAACTTGGTTTTATTTTGCTTTTTTATGTCAGCATGAAAAGTCATAAGCATTTTTGAGTACTTTTCTTCACACTCTTTTGCAAGCAGTTGAACTGAATATGTGCAACTGCAACTGGTTCTTCTAGGGGAATGTATATTTGAGCACGATCTTCTCGCAAAACAGGTGCCCGTTTTGATTGTGCAAGGCCGTTGTGACATGGGGTAAACATGAGGCATGTTTTAAAGGGTCATGAAGCAGCCATTCAGTTTGTATTGCGGTTTAAGGGCGTGAAATTTGGTAAATGAGTTGCATCAGAAGTGTAAGCCAAAGACACATCTTCCCTTCCTTTTCTGGAGAGCCATGATCTGGGAGTGCTGTGGATCTTCTGGACTGAGCACTATGGGAACAGAATGCCCTAACTCTCGGTCTGACCCAACACTGGTGTGGGTAACATGTGAAGAGCCCTCCTGGGCCAGACGAAAGGGGGGGCTCTCTTTGGAAGATGGCTTGCATTTTTTAAAGTCCACAGCCCAATTTCAGCTAGATGGAGAAGCGCTTTGATTTCAGCCCAACACGCTTTGCGTTTGGACCCGTGTGTTCTGAAAGCAAGTGCCACCAAATTCCGTGCAGGTGACTCCCAGGTAATCAAGACAACCACTGTGCCCTATGAACTGGATAGTGAGATAATAATGAGTGGTTTGCCTGTATGTTTAGAATAAATTGGTTTTTAACCGGAATGCTACCTCCTGAAACTAGAAATGCTGATGATTATATATTTCTGAGGGGCATGGCTCTGTGTTCCTGGGGATGTGGCCCTTTATTCCATGGCGGAGTGTGGCAAGGAAGACTTTCCAGACGAGAATTGCAGCTCCTGATGGATGACACTTTAGGCTCCCTAAAGGAATGACTCTGGATATTGACTGGTGGATATTAAGGTTCTGATCTTGTCATGGGGTTACCAGTCATGACTCTCCACCCCCAAAGGATTCTGGGACACTTTAGCTCTCTTAGGAAACTCCCGACAGGAGCCTTGCTGAAATGCCTGGCTCACATCACCGGCCTGCCTTGAGCACGGGTTCCTTGTTATGACAGTACTGCTGCCTACCCTTCTGGACTCTCCTGGGAAGTGTGTCCGGCATGATGCACGCCTGCACTTGAAATTTACCTGCACACCCCTTTATAAGTTAAATAGGCAGGGCAACAGTATACAGCCTTGCCGAACTCCTTTCTCAATTTCGTGCCGAGAGGTCTCCGGATTTTTAAGGTTTCTTAAGGTTAATTGTGTGTATTCTTGTTTGTTTTGTAAGCTGCCCCGAGGCTCTTTGCGAATGGGGCGGCATAGAAATGTTTTAAATAAATGAATAAATAAATAGTCCTGATCCCTGCACCCCAAGCCTGGGGGGAGGGGGTTATACCTACCATTTGCAAGCTGGGGAGCTCCTTTTCCAGCAACGCCCGGAGCTGCTCCTTGCTGAGCGTGTTCCGGTGGCCTTCCCTCTGGCAGTAGCGCTGGAAGGTGCAGACCAGCACCGCGAGGGCCCTCTCCAGCGTATGGAGCCGTTCCATCGCCGCGCCCGCTCGTGGCTAGTACTGCAAGGCAGGGGAGAGGGAGAGTGGGCGGTTTGGCCTTTCCCAACCTTGCTGCCTTCCCGATGTGTTGGATTGCAATTCCCATCACTGCCTGCCTGCCAATCCAACAGGGTGATGGGAGGTTTACTCCAATGCATTTAGAGAACACCGGACTGGGGAAGGCTGGCATGGACGGATGTGCTTGGAATTCTTCGTTGTTTATAACATGCAAAATGTTTCTGCCACTTTTCAATCCGTGTCCCAGAAGCAGAGTACCAAAAAACAAGCAAGCAAGCAAAATCAGTACCTTAAAGAAAGGGGGTCCCTTTCCCATTCTTGCTCCATTTTCCCCCCAACACCTGGCAAGGAGTTACATGGAGTATCAGATGTAAGAACACTTCTGGGGGGAGATGTAGTTTCTCTGCATCTTTGGAAAACTACATTGCCCTCAGTGCTGCTGCATCCAGATGAAGCAGCCAGGCAAGTCGGGTGGCCGTGTGACCAGCTTTAAGAGGAGAGTTCTCTATTTGGAAAATGCTCTAGCTGGGAAAAGTCATTTCCCTGCATCTTTGATCAACTGCATTTCCAGCTGGATTAAAGACCATGTTCCCCCACACATGCCTGCCCAGGCATAAAGGTCTTTTAGAGAGATCTTCTTTCAAAAGTGCCGTCTTCAGAGCCATGCCTGGCGGCTAACCAAGACGGGGCCTTTTCGGTGGCTGCCCCCGGATTGTGGAACTCCCTCCCAGGAGAATCTAAGTTATCCATATCCTACCATTTGCAGCAAAGACCATTTTATTTAAAAAGCCCTTTACCTGTTGGTGGATGTTGTTGGGCTGAGTACTGTTACTGTTACATGACGGTTACATTTTTATTCTGTTTTTTTAAATTGTTTATTGTTTATGGAAATCATCTATTTCCATTTCTCCCCCTCAGCTGCCTTGTCTGCCATCTCTTGAGAGAAATGGCACATTTTGATGCAAATCTTTGCTCTCTTTTTTTGCAGATGAGTTTGATGCTTTCTTTGGTGAAGGACAAAGCGACGCTTTAAGGAGAATGCACGTGGACGGGACGTTCACGAGGGAGAAGGAAGTAGCGGCACGGAGGTTTGTCGGAAAGGTTGCGGGTAGAGATCACACTCAACTAGCTTTGTTCCCTGTTTCTCACATTCCTCTCCCTGTCTGTGCAGCGACCAAAGTGCTGTGCCCTTTGCACAGTTTTTATTCTAATCCAGCTGCTCACCCTTGTCAAGTTGGCGTTTTTTGACTAATGCACCTCAAAAGCCAGAGGGCAAACTGTGTTTAGTCTGGCACGACAAAAACAAGAAACACTCCTGCAGCAACATTAAAAACTAACAGCTTTATGGTGGCGTCAGACTCCATGAAATGGCCGAAGTTAAATTTATTTCTGTTCAGGGAGACTCACTTGTGATCAAGGGTTTTATTTATTTATTTATTCAAAATATTTATATGCCGTCCTGAGGCTTAAGCCTTGCATAAGGAAGCTGTTTTCTCTTCCTTATGCAAGTGTTCCATTAAAACAGCCGAAGTTGAGAAGACGGAGCTATTGATTTCTTGCTCAGGTTTGCTGCATTTACCTGGTGTGCCTTTGAACCCCTCTGGATAATTATCTGTTGACTAAGGACTGGCTTTGCTCTCATCATAAAACTATTATTTTTATTTCTATACCAGCTGCAACTGAAGCTTTCTGGGCAGTTTACAACAAAGTCTGGGCAGCTGCCAGCCAAGAGTTCCTCCTTGCATAAACCTACTATTCTTTTAGGAGCCACATGGGTACTTTTTATTATTTCTGATTGCCAGATGTGCAGGATCCACATCTGGAATTGCTTGTGAACTTCCCAGAGGCCTTGAAAGTTGAAAAGGGACCTAAACAGCTTTTTGTGTTTTTTTTCCTCTCTCTTAAGCTTTCTTTGCATAAATGTCTCCCATCCTGATTCCCCAAACATGAATTGGCTTCTTCTGGAGGAGAAATATCTTGAGGCAAGATATGTCAACAAACCCCACAAAAGTGTTTTTGCATGCAAACCCCCCTCAACCCCTTTCCCCCTGAAAGGATGTTAACATACCAAGTAAGATTTCTCGCGTTAAGGCTTCTTGTGCAGGCGAATTAAGCGAGAGACTGAGTCTCCCAACCTGTCCGGAACGGCCTTTGGTGGTTCCCGTCTGCCGATTCCAACTCTGACAAACCCTTCCACCTGCTGAGAGTGTGAGCAATTCCTGGGAACAAACCGCATCCACCCACCAGGTGCATCACACCCGATTCCAAACCACACCTGCTGTTGCTTCAGGAATAGGCCCTCTTTCTCAACCCACACCCCTGCACTCCCATGTGTAAGCCTTCTTCCATGTGATGTGCCATTTTGATCAAGTATGTCCGGGAGCAGGGATGTAGCAGCAACACATTCCCTGTTTCAGGAATTCTCTGTTTCATCTGAAACACAGAAACAGGGCAAGTCAGAAGGGGTCTCCCGGGCCATCTAGTCTGACCCCTGGCTCCAGCCGGCTCCACTCACGACATGCCCACCATGTGCATGTCCAGCCTATCCTTGAACTCCCTCACTGATGGGGCCTCAACCACCTCCTGTGGAAGCCCATTCCACGCCCTCGGGCTCCTGACTGTCAGGAAGTGCTTCCTGGCATCCAAATTGAACCCTGGTTCCCTGAGCTTTGCTCCGTTGGAGTGCGTCCTGCCTTCCTCTGCAGGGGAGAACAGGTCTCTCCCCACCTCCGTGTGACACCCCCTCACATACCTGCATGTCACCACAGATCCCCCCTGAGTCTCCCCTTCTCCAGGCTGAAGAGGCCCAGTTCCCTCAGTCTCGCCTCACGCGGCTTCCCCTGCAAACCGGCCACCAACCTTGTGGCCCTGCGCTGCACGCTCCTCACAGGAGCTGGGGATGCCATGGATGTTCCAGGCAACCATATAATTTCCCCTGTTGTCATGCAAGGTACTTTTGAGCTGGTGTACCTTGGAATGGGCTATTCTGACTCATTCACGTTACCAAAAACCTGTTCCTGGTGGAGATGAACTTGGCTGGAAGCAGGATTTGGAGCTTTGCAATTTTGGGATCCCTTGAAAAACTGACCCGTTTCACAGCCCGCCTGTCCCCTTCGATCAGCTCCGGAGGCCCTTCTGCGAGAACCGCCCCTCAGGGTGGCGACAAGGCAAAGGGCCTTTTCTGCTGCCGCTCCCCATCTCTGGAACTTCCTCCCTGGGGAAACCCGCCTGGCGCCGTCTTTATTTTTCTTTCGGTGCCAGACAAAAACATACCTTTTCAGGAATTTTTTTAGCCTGAATGCTGTGGCCGTTTTTAAATTGCTTCAATATTTTAATTTTAATTCTTTTTGTTCTATTGGGTTTAATGTGTTTTATTTTGTTCATATGTTTTATGTATTGTAAGCCTCTTAGGCAGTTATAGACAGCCTATAAAGACATGTGTAAATAAATAACACACACAGCTCTTTTACAAATAGTTTCCCCTTTATATAAACCTACTTTGGGTATATGTCTTTCGCCCATATGTCCATGTTGTGAGCACTTTCCCCTAAGATGTGCAGTCTGGCTTGGGGAACTGAATGGCCAAATCCAGAGAAGGGCAAACGCAGAGGGAGAACGATGTTCCTATTTCCAGATTTGGGAAGTGGGAATCCAGTAGACTTAAATGAAAGCGTCAGACAAATGCAATCCGCCCCCATCGCTTGGGCCTGCACCCGTTCCTCATCCCCTCGAAGGCTTTCCCATCAAGGAATCATCAGCTCTGCAAATTCAGAGTCCCTGGTTGGCGTGTGTGGTGCAGCGGCTGAGACTGGGACTCGTGGATCTGGGTTCGAATCCCCGCTCAGCCGTGGAGCTTCCTGGGTGGCTTCAGGCCTGGCACAGATTCTCAGCCTGACCTACCTCGTAGGGTGGTTGTTGTGAGGATAAAATGGAGAGGAGGGGAATCTTTTCAACCTCCATGGGTCCCTTGCAAGAAGAAGACAGGAGGGATATAAACACATTTTAATTGCTCATATAATTTATTTATTTTAATTGCTAGTATTATTTATTTATTTTGCACCTTTGGCCAGGTTGTTTCAAATTATATTGTTTTTATATTATTATTATTTATTTATTGTTGTGAGCCACGCCGAGGCTTCGGCGAATGGGGCGGCATAGAAGCTTCCTAAATAAATAAAATAAAATAAAATGTAGTTTTAATAAGCATGCCTGAACCAGCGATGTAGTGGAGTCAGGGCTTTCAGGGTCAAAGCATCGGGGCTTTTTGTGGACAGGGCCAGTGAGAGCCCCTGCCACCCCCTGCCAGCCCCTCTTTGCTCTGAGTCTTCCCTCTGCTCTGAGCTTAGCTGCAAACCTCACCTGCTTGGGAGATTAATGGATTCGAAAGCATCCTCGGATCCTTGAGAGCCAGTGTGGGGTGGTGGTTAAGCATGTCGGACTGGGGATCTGGGAGAACAGGGTTCTAGTCCCCATGGAGCCAACTGGGCGACTTTGGGCCAGGCACAGATTCTCAGCCCAGCCTACCTTGCAGGGCTGTTGTTGTGGGGATAAAATTGAGAGCAGCAGGAGGAATCATAGCATCATAGTAGAATTGGAAGGGGCCATGAAGGCCATCCAGTCCACCCCCTGCTGTTGCAGGACACCAATTCACACTACCCCACTCAGAGGGCTGCCCAGTTTCTCCTTGAATGTCTCCAGTGTGGGAGAGCCCCCGTCCTCTCCAGGCAGCTGGCCCCACTGTCGTGTTGCTCTGGCAGTGAGGAAGCTCTTCCTGATGTCCAGCCTGAATCTGGGTTGTCCCAACTTGACTTGATTGATCACAGCTGCTTTGAATTCTTTAAAAGACAAAAGGCAGGTTATAAATATAATAAAGAAATAAACCGTTCCTCTTGAAATGGAAAGCAATTTAGGGTGGGCCTGGTCTTGAAAGGCTGATGAAGAGCAATGAGGTTTTTAAAACCAAGCCATGCCCAGGCCTACCAAAAAGACAAGAGGCCAGGTTGCCTGCCCAGGAAGATGTTCAGAGATGCTCCTGATCAGCGGCGAAAAGCTATTTCTTTGACGGACCCCCGGACAGCCCTGGAGTGAGGAGCATCCCTGTTGGAACCCGCTTCTTGTGGCCTGCAATTCCACGTGAGTACACACACCTATTTTCAGTGTTGTATTTCGCGTTTTGAGTGTTATTCTCGGGACAAGATGTTAGTAATGTTTCCCTCCTGTTTAGGGTACATATTAAGCAAACCAGTAAATGTCCACTCAGACCTGCATATGAAAACACTAAATTCTAAAACAGAAAGAGGAAAGGGAACATCTGTCCCAAAGGAATACAAACAAACCAAATAAATGTAAATTTATTGCTTTTCTTGCTATTTTTACCCTTCTCTCCTAAGGGTTTTCCCTTTCTTTCCTTTCTTAAACCCCTCACGCTAGACCTTGTCTGTAAGTTATGCATGTTTATTATGTTTACTCAGAAGTAACTCCTGCTACAGCCTTAAATGCCAACTGAGAAAAACCTGTGCTTTTTTGCTTTTCAGTGTTTTGAAGGCTGATTGCCTTTGTGGGGTGTGAGTGGAAAGGAAGCAGAGATGTAATTTAAGAAGCCAGAATAGAGGCAAGATTTGTTTGGGGAAAGTTGTGCAAAATTTGAGCAGTTTCTTTTTTCTTTTTGAAAGGGAAATGACACAGTAGCTTCTCTGTGAATTCTTTGGTTAGCTCTTCTTTTTGATTGGGGGGTGTTTGCAATGCAAGAAAACCAGTGGAGTTTTGTTTTGTGTTTAAATTAAAGGAGGGATTCTTGTCAACGCGACCATAGCTTGCAATTCTGAGTGGCTGGGCAGAGGTTTTAATGGGGGAGGCCAGGCATACAGAGTGGAAATAGCTTGAAAATGAAGTTTTTCTTTTAAAAAGAGGAATTTTACAGGGAGGGCACTGGGGTGGAAAGTGCCTTGGGAGGGGGTCTTTCCCTTTTAAAATCTCCCTAAGCTAACACGAACAGTTCTGGATTTGTGAAGCCCTCTCTGGTATTTATCGTTTGGGAACAACCTGAAGTATGAATTTACTAAGGATGGAGTAACACCCAGATTTAGTTCAGAGTTACTGGTGGATCCAGTTGCGTGCTGGTGATACCGACGGGGAGCAGGGCTGATGCCCCGGTGCTGAAAAGATTTGGAATTCAAGCCTAGATTAGTGCTTGTCGCTCTTGGTCCCCTTTGCCGGCCTTGAAAGGATCCAGTGTCCCCCTTAAAAGAGATGTAACGGGCGTGGGGTTGGAAAGCATTTGGTGTCAGAAAATAATCGCGGGCGGAGAGCTTCAAGGGAGGGGCAGTCAAACGCCAGCCCGTCCAGGTGGTTCAGGTGCCACAGAGATTTATTTCCGCAAGTGCCCACGTGGTCACCCCGCGATACTCCTGGAAAGCTACGGGCTGGAGTGGAAGGCATTGCTGGTCATGGTGCAGCTTGGGCTCCTCCGTGGCTGCCCGGCCATGGTGGGAAACAGGATCCCCGGGCAGTTGGCACATGTTCTTCATGAGTGGGGTGGGAAAATGCCTTGGACATGGAAAGATACTATAACAGGATGCAGATGAGAAAAACCAAGAAAGCAACCGCCACTCAAAAAGCGACAGATCTGACTTGCAGACACTGCTTCGAATGGGAGAGCAGAAAATTTAAGGTCTGTGGGCAGAACCAACCCGTCTGGGGTCACAAACGGTCCCCTGCAATGGGGCCCACCCTCCACACCCCCTTCTCGTTTCTGAACCACCACTTTTGGGGGTTTCCTGGCCTTTGTGTGCTTCGTTTCGCAACAATTGACACGCCTCTCCTAAAACGTCGCTTGGTAGTGCCAACTTTAAGCAGAAGTGCGCTTGAAACAGCAGTTGGTAGTCTAGCCCCACCCTGTTTGGCCTTAGGCCACGCCCACCACTGGGATGTGGCCCCGCCCCCAAAAGCTTCTCCAAAACCGAATTTGGCCCCTGGGTTGCAAGAGGTACAAGACCTTTGGCCTAGAGACTGGTAACTGCACAGACTCAGAATTAGTCACACAAGCATTTTTGGTCCAAGCCTCTTTATTACAGTCTGAAAAGCTCCTGCAGCTGCCGGCAGGCAGGCGTCACCACCGAAGAGGCCCCGCAGGCATTCAGCCTCACCTCTTCCGGTTGCTCACGTCAGAGCACTCCTGGAAGAATTCGTTGCACAGGGAGGCAGTGAGGGCCAAGAAGACGGCATACTCCTGGAAGTCCAGCTCCTCGTCTCCGTTGTTGTCAAGCTTCTTCATCAAGTTCTCAAATCCCTCTTCGTGGATTTTCCCCTATAGGAAAGAGAAAGGAGGAGCGAACAATTGATTTTCCTGCCTCAGCCTCCTTTCTTGGATGATCCCACTCATGGCGTGCTTGTTTCTGCTGGAATCAAGGCCAAATTTGCACTGAAAGCTGCATTAAACGAAGAGAGGTGTGTGGCAACGATATGGAGTCAGGATGGGAAATGTTTTCCCCCAGGAAGCTGGTTTCCCTCATTTTGGTTCCATTAATCCACACTGCAAAGATGGTCCATGAGCAACAGCCAACTTGGAAACTCTGGATCATCCCCCTTCATGTGGAATCGGGGCAGAGAAGGTGGCGATGCTGGAGCCGTTTGGTGAAACCCGGACGCCGAACGGAGCTTAGAATGATCACATTTTTCTTGTCCGCCTCCATTTCTTTCCCTGTTCCCCATGTAGAGTTTTAGGTTACAAGTTCCTTGGGAGCAGAAACTTGTCTCCTGGGCAAAGGGGAAGCGCAAACTTAATTTATTGTTCCAGGAGGATGGGTAGACAAACCGAGCTTCTCATTCTTTGCCCTGCCTAGCCAAGTCACAAATTAGTGTGTGTCTGTGTATAATTATGTATTTATTATGTTTACATCTCACTAATTTCCTATAAGGAAAGGCAGCTTACATAATTCTCCTCCTTTCCCTTGTATCTTCACAGGAACCCTGTGATGGTAGTTATGCTAAGAGTCCGTGACTGCCAAAAGTCCCCCAGTGACTTTTGTGGCCAACTGAGGACTATTTTATTTTTATTTATTTTTCTATTTATATCCTGCCTTTTTCGTACAAAGGGCTCAAGGCAGCTTGCATCTCCTCCTCCATCTTATCCCCACAACAACAACCCTGTGAGGTAGGTTGGGCTGAGAGCCTGTGACTGGCCCAAAGTCACCCAGTTGACTCCATGGCTGAGCGGGGACTCGAACCCGGATCGCCTGAGTCCCAGTCCCAGGCTCTTAACCACTACACCGCACTGCCTCTCAATGACTAGAACCAATCTTGCCAATTCCCAGTTCAAGAGATGGACCATCATGGCTCTTCTTATGTTCGTAACACTCTAACCAATACATTGCACTGTATATATGTCTGTACATGCACAGAGACCCACGCTAACCAATCTGATAGCCTGACCCATATTGTTATCACTGAAACCTGATCTGGACAACTTGTCTTCCTCTGGATGTCCTTGGACTACAGCTTCTATCAGCCCTAGCCAGCACAGTGAATGGGGAGGGATGATGGGAGCTGTTGGCCAGAACCTCTGGGAATCCACAATTTGCCTGTGCCAGATTTTGAAGCCAATATTTATCTGCTGAATTTCCCCACAAAACTGAAAGGTCCCAGGGTAGCATCTCACGCCAACAAAGGTGGGCAGCTCATGAAGAAGCAGCTGCCTCATCTCAGTCTTGTTGAGCTTAAACTTGTCGCCTTCCTTGCCGGAATATTTATGGAAGGTTTCTACTAGGACATCTAAAGCCTCTTCAAGGGGGGCGTCCATCTTGGTTCCTGGGGGGAAAGCAGAAGCACAGAAAAGAGCATAATTAGAACTCTGTCTCTGAGGCAGAAGGGAAATGTCCTTTGTCCCCATGACAAGTTTTCGGTTTTTAACTCATTTATTTATTTATTTAGAATTTTTATATGCTGTCCCATTGCTGATAGCCTCGGGACGGCTCACATAAATAAATAAACATAATACATAGACATAAAACAATTAAAAACCCGGAGACACCCTGGCTGCAGAATTAAAACCTATAGGTAATATTAAGAGTTGTTAAAATATCGTTTAAATAAAAAGGCCTTGGCCTGGCGCCGAAAAACAAATAACAATGGCGCCAGGCGGACCTCTCTGGGGAGCGCATTCCATAGATTGGGCGCCACCGCAGAGAAGGCCCTCCTCTGGGTGCTCCCCCTCCTAATATCCTTCATGGAGGGCTCCCGGAGAAGAGCCTCTGCCGCCGATCTCAGGGGGCGGGAGGGCAAATATGGAAGAAAGCGTTCCTTTAGGTATCCAGGTCCCAAGCCGTTCAGGGCTTTACAGGTGATTACCAGTACCTTGATGTGGCTGCCATCCCCCAAACCAAGGCCTTAGCAGAAGTACCCAAATGCACCCTGACAAACCTCTCTGCTTGTTCAAAATCTTAATTAAAAGATGGGGAGACAATTGAGTGGGAACTGAAGCTTTTTCGGGGCAGAGGGGAATCACATCATTCTCCTTGGAGAAGGACAGGGCTGGGGGATAAATTTGCAAGGTTCCTGTTTGAATGAGAACTGACCCTATTTCACACATTGGAGCTAAGTGTACAAAGAAAATCTCAGCCTTTGAGATTCTCCAAATTCTGCAACTCAGTCCTACAGTAAAACAAATGCCCGTATTAGGGGAAAGCATGCGTGAACGTAAGAGAAAACTTAAAAACCTGTTTGGTCAATGACTTGCAGAAATAGTGTCTATTGGGCAAAAAGGCATACAAAAATGCATGGTTGGGATGTCGTGAGTGGAGCCGGCTGCAGCTGGGGGTCAGACTAGATGGCCTGGGAGACCCCTTCTGATGCTCTGTTTCTATGTGTCCATTTCCATAAATGGCCACACTAAGAGCTCTGCATTTAAACATTGTGGTAGCTTTGGGCAGTCCTGGCCTCGCCTTTTTTGCTTTCTGCCCCTCCCTCATTTTGCATGTGGCCGTGCCCATCGCTGGCGTGCAGGCCCCGGGAGCTGCTCCAGAGTGGAAACTGGTTCTCGGACTGGAAAACGTTCAGCAACCCTGAGGAAGAATGAATCCCCAGAGACCGTGTGGCTTGATAGAACAGCCTGGGTGACGCTCATGGCCATTTGATGTTAGAAATCCAAAGCTGGGCTTCACTCTCTGGTCTCCTGCCCAGAACCCCCGATTGACTGACGTCTTAAAGATGGAGTAAAAATAGATACAGGAAAGGGGGGTTGGAGGGACGGAGACAAAGATCACTCACCCAGTTAAGCAGAGAGGGGGTCCCCGCAGGAGTCAGTGGGGCTTTGGGTGATACAGAGCAAATGCAGCCACGGTGTCTTGTCTTTGTACGCAGTCGGTTGGCAACTTGCCTCTGTGAATCTGCCTCCTCCTGCCCAAGTCTGTGCTGGATCTGGGCTCTCCCTTCTCTCCCAGCTAGTCCCAAGTTTGAGCCTCGCCCAGAACAAGTTTGTCTCCCAGTGGAGTCCCAGGAAGGGAAGGAACGGCTGCCCTTAGTCCCTTCTTGTGTCAGGGAGACTCTGCTGGGCACAGACGGTGTCCCCGTGACGCATTCGAATCGGGGATCTCAACAAGGGACTTAATTCCCCCCGCCCTCCTTCCCTGCAAGGCTTGTGAAATAAGCTTCCCAAATTCTCTCATAGGCGTCTTCTCACCAACCTGTCTGCTTGGAAGCCAGGCATGTGTGAACATGCCCCAGTGGCGTTGTCTCATGCTGGGATCGGGATGGATCTGGCGAAGGGTGTCTAACCCAAGGCTGGGAATGCTCGGCATTGCAGTCCAGAGCTTTTCGGAAGGGCTGCTCTGCTTGAACTCTCTTCCACCTCTACCAAGATTTGGCGGCCATTTCCAGATCCTGCAACTCTGGAAATCCTTTAACTGGCTGCTCCAAGAATTCAGCTGGTGACCAGGGCTTGTCTCACTGCCTTAAAATGAACCCCCCCTCCAGCCCCCATCACTGAACGCCACACTTTTCATTAGAACACTGAGTTTTTCTACTCCCCTTTGCTTTACTTCTGCCTATGACCCGCAGTCCTTCGGTGGTGCAATTCTATCTCTGACATGAAAATTGGTTCTGAGGTCTCCTTTGTGAAACAGAAGTAAAGGGAAGCAGAGGCACCTGTCCCAAGGAATTCTAAGAAAAAGTGTAGGGATTGTAGGATTCTAAAAAAGCAGAGCATGGCACCCTTAGTTAATTTCATGACTGCCAGCAGTCTGTGGAAGGTGAATTTTCTTCCCGTTACAACATATTCCCATACCATCAACCCGCAGAAAATGAACTCTTAATTCCCCAGCCTCAGCTGGGACAATATCCTGAATAAGAAATGCAGATAGGAATACCCCAACGGTTCTCTCCCAGGCGCGCCAAAGTCTGACGCTATCAAAACAGGATTGCCCGCTTTCCAACGGCCTCCTGGTTTTGAGCAACATTCCTGCGACACCCAGTAACCAAACTCCCTTCTTGGAGGAATATGAGTAACCGCCTTCCAACATGAATAATTCTACACCGGACTGTAGACAAGGCTCTGCACGGTCGGTCGAGCTGAGACCTGCCCGGCAGGTGTGGGGAGCAACCTAAGCATATCAATTTGGATTCCGCCACCGCTTTCTTTTTCATCTCGGTTCGTTTTCTTTGATGTGGCCCATTGCATCTCCTGAGCATGGGAGCCACTGGGCTTCGGTGTCTCAACATGCCCAGTCCCTGCTTCCCATACGTATGAGCGGCATGCAGCTGAAGACTCGTCCTCGTCTCTCTCCCAGAATATTCTCCAGCTTGCAAGTTGGGCATTCTTGGCCTGCAGACAGAGTCTTCTGGACTCTTCTGAGCCTGAGCTGTATTTAGGTATTTCAAACTGGTATTGAGACCTTAAAGGGGTATCACTTATTTTATATCATGGTGAGCCAATTTGGGGGGGGGGGGGGGCTCCCTGCTCGTGAGCAGAGGAGGGCAGGATGTGCTCCAACAGAGCAAAGCTCAGGGAACCAAGGTTCAGTTTAGAAGCCAGGAAGTACCTCCTGATGGTTAGGACCCCGAGGGTGTGGACTGGGCTTCCACTGGAGGAGGTTGAGGCCCCATCGGTGAGGGTGTTCAAGGATAGGCTAGACAGGCACATGGTGGGCATGTCATCAGCAAAGCTGACTGGAGCCAGGGGTCAGACTAGATGGCCCCGGAAGCCCCTTCTGACTCACTCTGTTTCTGTGTTTCTAGTCTTGTGCAGTGTCTAAGACACGGACTCCAGATTAACATGCATTTTCTGTGACGCCTTAAACAGTCTTCTGCCTTGTCGTCCTCGGTTCCCCCTTTCCTGCAATGATAAATGTCTCATTGCCTACCTTGCAGGGTTGTTGTAAAGATTCCGAGAGGCCGTGAGCATAGTGCTTTGCACAGTCCAGTGTGTGATCTAAATGCCACATTTGAGGATGAGCAATATTCCACAAGAGGATCCAGGTGATGGCACAGCATTTACATCCCCAAGATCCTCACCATTTTTAGGGGGGAATCTGTGTGTGTGTGAGGGAGAGAGAGCAAAGGGGAGGTTGATACCTTGACCAGCAGGTGCAGGTGAGGTGTCCTGGTGTTCTCCTGGGTGGAAGAGCAGAGGGTCTAGTCACGCCTGCTCCCTTCGTGGTCAGAAATTGTCATTCTGTGCAGTTCTCCCACTGAGGTACCTATAAAGACCTTTCTGCCACAGCCTCTGTTGCTGTTCCCAACCTCATCACTCAATTTGCACTGTGGCGAGAGCCCTGTGACGCTCTCTTTTAAAATGTGTCCAGCCATTGTACGGTGACCTCTGGATGATGGACCCAAGAACAGACACGGAGAGGCCAAGGCATTGGTTAAAAATATTTTTTTAATTGCAATTAGAACACTCATCCCTGCAAGCCTTCCGCTATTGGGGCTTATTTCTTGGGGACTGGAAATCTGGGACAGCTGCGAAAAACTCATCAAGTCCTATTGACATACGTGGCAGGAAGCAGGAAAACGCCTGGAAATCCGCTTCATTATCCTTATTGAGTCCAGAGCTCCCAGGACTTTCTGGAGTTCTGCTGTGTCCATTTGTTTCTAGGAGCGTCAGAAAAGGAAAACACTTTAAGAGATCGGAAACTTTTAAGAAGGGTGCTTGTGCTTTCCCTCTGCTCTCCTCATCCCTTTATTTGTGTGTGTGTGATCTCTTTGGGATTTGCAAGCTTCCAAATTGGGACCCATGATTAAGAGGCAATAGGGTAGCCAGCTCCCAGTCACTGAGCAGCTGTCACAATTTGCTTCTGTTTTTCCAGATGGTTAGACCCCCAGCCAACAAACTCAATTATCAAGAAAGGGAAATTTGACTAAACACTAGGGCAAACGTCCAAAAAGGATGAGTCTTTCTTCGCTGGAATGAATCTTGTTTGTTGGAGGTTTTTAGGCATTTGGGTGGCCTCCCAGCAAGGATGCGCTGATTTCCTGGAACAGCGGGCAGGAAGGGGGTGGACTAGATGACCTCTGAGATCCTGCCAATTCGCACATTCCGTTTTCCTTGCTGTTGGGTTAGCAAATCTGGGAGCCTTTTTGACTGAAGAGTTTGGTGGAAATAGCTTAGATGAATACACAAAATCCCCTTTCAGGCTTGGCAGTGGGTATTCGGAAGTGGTTGTCGATTAAGCGAATTTCTTTGTGCTCCTCTTTGCTTTGCTTATGCTGTCTGCTATCCAGTAGCTTCTCTTCCAAGTCCCACTTTTCCAGCAAATTTTGGTTTTGCTCCGTTCCTCAGTCCCGTTTCCTTCTCAGCCTAACCTGGCCTTTCCTTCTAAGCTGGGCAGCTGCTTCGAAGTTTGTTTTTTCTTCTCCGAACTACAGTCCCCTTTTGTTAAGCCTGGAGGGCCAGACACAAGGAGTGATAGAACAGCCAGGAAGCGGCTAAAATGAAGCAAACGTTGCTGAAGCAAATGCCGCTGACAGTTGTTTGCATTCTGTGCAAAATTCAGCAACAGCAATTAAACCAAACCACAGTATGACTCCACCGCATGCTGGATGTTTTCTCTAACACGCAAGATCCACTCAAGGGAGCAAGATACTGAAATCGTGCACGATAAGGATATTTAAAAGCATCCCAAAGAAGCCCAGCATATTCCTGAGGGTCTGGATTCGGTCAAACATATCTTCAGTATGGGTAGCAACAGAAAGG